TTGACTTGTGAAGTTTTTGATAATTCAGTTTTCCAATCCTGGGGTATACATGATATAATTTTTTAATACGCTAGCATGTCGTCATAAAAACTAGAAAAACAATGATGATGAAAAATATACGGAAATATTGCAATTTGCTGTTTAGAATCACAAATATCTTCAACGAATCAAATATTTTTACTATTCCAATTATTCATATATAAAAGTTTTCCTTGGCAAGATATATGATCTACAGCAAAGACCTGCCGCCACAAGCTCTCGGGGACTTGACAGAACATACCCTTTAGCTCTGTCAAGTCCCCGAGAGCTTGTGGTGGCAGGTCTTTGCTGTAGATCATGTTCAAGTTCAACACAAAAAAATAACGAGAAAGAACACTTTGGCCATTTTTTTTTGACTTTGTGTTATACGAGTACTTTTCAACTTTCTTTATTGTAGTCGTCAGATGAAAATATGAATGATTGCACTTACGCCGCCGTAATTACATTCAATTTCACCCCTGATATTTTCAGTTATTTTTTATACACGAAAACATTACCTAATTCCCGTAGAGCGATTAGGTAGTAATTATATATAGCAAGTAGTGAATAGATTTATGCAATATAGTCAAATAATCAAAAAAGAGAGGCTGACGGAAGGTCGCGTCAGGCGCACTGGCGAGGGCAGCTCCTCTGATTTTTTTATTTTTATATATATATAATGTATAGTTCATTTCATTCGTACATAGTGAGGATTGACATATTGAGTATTTAGTAAGTAATGTTCATATTTTTTATCGCTGCTGTATATATTCAATTCGTACATATTCATATTTGGTTACCGAAGGTAACAAGGATAGGTAGTATTAATGGTGTAGCCCGACGCGAACGGACAGCCTCGAGAAGCTGGTTTGTTAGGATTGGTTTTATACAGTACAATATCCAGTAACCTCATGAGTATGGTGGCTTTAAATATTATTGTAATTGAGAGGTGTGTCTAAGGTATGAAAGTGAACTCAGTAAAGCATAGTCGTTTTAATGAACAATACCCATTTAAACCTATTGTCATTATGCGATGGAACACAGTACACAGTGAAACAGCCATAATAGAAGAAACGGGTTGCTAAACTCGCCCTCAAATAGGACCCTCGACCATCTATCCATAATTCTCATATTTGCAAGGTTTTTATCTGAAAGTAATACACTCGTTTCTCAAACATGTGAATTTCAATTTTGGTATTTATTATTTACACATTAGGCGGAGACCGGGAGAAAGACTTCAATCCTTGCGAGCACAAAAATAAAATGTTTCAAACTGCTCAATTTAATTTTATATGTCTTTATCTTTATCAGCCACTAAAATTGGCGGAGCTAGTTCAATCTCAGCTAATTTTAACATTGTCATAGTTTTTGTCATGCTTGATCATAGTATCTAATGTATCAAAAATACTTCTGGGTAGAGTCATGTATATTTTTAAGGTGTAGTCTTGAGTATGTTTTTGAATCTTATATAAAGTGAAGCAGAGATTGTTGTCATATAAGTTATATCGTTTGATCATAACTGGTCTTGGAAAATTGAGTAAATATAATACGTTTTGACAAAATTCCCAACATATTTATTAATTACCCTCAAACTAGTAGGAGAAAACTTCAAGAAGTCAATCCAGTGACTAAGAAGAAACGCAATGTGCGTGAAGAAAGTATCAATTTTCATGCAAAATGGGAATTGCAGAATTTCTGCATTGGTCAAAATTCTAAAGCACACTCTTCAATTGATAGATTGATACAGATAGATTCAAGTAAATTGGGTTTATGCTGTATTTTCCTTCATTTTGAATCTATGTGTTAAAATTATGTCATTTTTTAAGCATATTTTTCATTTTTTTTTCCTAGTAAAAGTTTGTTCGTAATTGTTCTGGATAATTGAACATACTGATTAATGAGTTAATTGATGATAATAAATACAGTGGTTTGACCTGATAATAAAATGCAAGAAATTTGCATGTGAATGCCATTGGTATTTAAAAAAAATAACAACACCTCGTCCAGCTCATAAATTCACGTCGCAATATATATTGCAAACTCCCCCTAACAAAATATACCATATCGCATTGCGAGCGCGTTTTAGAGGTTCAACACAAGATTTTCAACAAGATGGCGTTCATGAGTAGTTTGAGCCAATGAAGTAATATTACTCAATACAGATAACATACGACACTACGCCTGCCTTTCTTATTTTTGAGCAATAGTATGATGATAACATTCCAGCACTCAAAATTCCAAATTCCCAATGCTCTAAAATTAAAGTTAATATAATCAAATATGTGATTCTATTTACGTTTCCAATTTTAAAATTTATTCCTAGTTTCATCCAAATACTGAATTATTTTGCGTTTTTGTGATTATTTTAAAAGAAGCACAGGACGTATGTCAATAAAATTTGCTGTTCTGCAGTTGGTAATAATGAATGAGCAATACAATATTTCAATTTTTACGTTTTTTGTGCGATATAATTTGAATATTGCTTTAACTCACAATGCCGCTTGACAATATGTGGTCTTCTTTTGCGATCACTTTTTATGGTGGCTATTGGCAAGTGTGCTCGGGTAGACAGCTAAAGCCTTACTGTACCTTTATTCATGCGCGGCTTTCGTGCCCTGATGTTGAACATTGCTCATGCCAATGAAGATTCTTCAGATTAGTATTTATGTAATATTTGAATGCTTCATGCAACCAACATTATTTAAACCGTAATATTTAATTACCGGTATATTTAACCACTATACTTATATTAATATTGACTCTTGGGTTTGAATGTAATGCAACAGTACGACTTAACCGGAATATCGGTAGGTGCTCGCCACTAATACAGTCTGATAATACTGTAATAAATAGTTCAGAAGATCCAGTGTGCTGCAAAGACACACAAATAGGTTCGAAGTTCACGATGCAAACGAAGAGACTTTATTAAAATGGTGTAAAATCCACTCCTGAGGCAGATAAAATGAGAGCGACAAAATACGGTAATCATCCAGCGACAGCAGAAGCAAGAAGAGACTGACACTGTGAATCCGCAGCACAGTTCACATATGCAGTGGTGGTTGGAGTCGAGTAACTGGATCTAACTGTCGGACGAATTAGGGATCAGTCTCCACACACCAATGCATATGCAATAACTAGACACGAAATATAAATAAAATACAAAACAATAAAAAAATAGGACAATTCCAGTCCCGCCACAGTAAACTTACGGAACCCTTGGCGTGTGCGCTACTGCCTGAATCCTACAGGAATCCAGATAGAAATCACTGCTGTGTTATATTCTATAATTATATAAATATCATTAATATGCTTATCTATTCTTCCGTCATAGTTATGTGCAATGCCCCCATTCCACAAATGAGGGGACCGGTACGTCTGGTATTTTATATGGAGAAACAATTATCATTGAGCTGTTACTAATTCCAGTAAGTTAAGGGTACAGTCAGAACCGCTCTCCCTTAATTATAATTTATTCCGTATACATTTGTGGTGCTGTTATCATATAGCACTTATTTCTTTTCTCATAACAACACACATGGCGGTGATTATTTGTTGGTCATGTGGAATTAATAGAGACAACATTTTGTCTCTATTATTAAGGATTTCTAAATCCTTTGTAAATTTTTCCAATTGAATCAGCTGGAGGATTTTGGAATTTCGATCAATGGATGGGAAAAAGTTAGGACTGGCGCAATGCCAAGATGTTTCTAACCCCTAGTCAAGTAAACCTTCTGTTTACTGGTTTTATTATTCCCCAAACTCGTAGAACTCAAAACGCTAACTACGGGCCAAATGTGAAAACTGAAGTAAACTATAATTTTTACCTCTTGTAGGAAATTTATTTCACATTATTGTTTGTTTACTTTGAATCAAGGTATCACAATTGACTCAGATCCAGGTACGTGGACTCACTCGGATTCTCATCATGAAGTTCAGTTAATTATAACAGGATGAATTTGTTCTGACTCCATGTTGATTTTTAGGGTGACAACTGGCAATGCTCTAACAACGTTTTTAAAAAAAGATTACACCAAATAGCAAAGGGAGTGGGGCGGTTTGGGGTGGGGGAGGAGGCTGACTGAGGGTCACGTCAGGCGTACTACCGACTGTTTTGCGCAATCTTTTTCTTTTCGAAGACAGCCTGCTTCATTTCCCATGCATTTTTCGTGTATCGTCAGATCATATATAGTTCAATTCATTCGTACATAGATTTGATTGGCATACAAGTAGAGTTTGTAGTAATTATTGAGAAGGGTTCATATGTTCATCGCAGCTTGTATTCATGATTTCGTACATAGTCACACGTGATTATCGAAGGTATTTTGTAAGGTGTAGCCCGACGAGGACGGACAGCCTCGAGAAACTGGCTTGTAGGGATTGGTTTTATACATTACAATATCCAGTAACCTAATGTGTGTGGTGGCTTTGAATATTATCGTAAATGAGAGGTGTGTCAAAGGCGTGAAAGTGAATTCAATAACGCAGAAGCATTTCGACAAACAGGACCTATACGATATATCCATTGTCATGTGGTGACGCGATGGGTACACATTACACTGTAACACGGTCAGACCAGACGTCACGTATACCATATAAAAACCAGTGTGAGATTTTATACATAGAGAATAGAGACTCGTGTCATAGTTTTTTCGGTGTAAAAAAACTAATCCAAGAAAATAATTTCAATCAAGAAAATAGTTTAGCATAGGGCAAATTTATAAAATTTCATCCCAAATTGCTCAGAACAATAGGCCAGTATTTCAGAGCTCTAATGCTCTAGCATCAATTAAAAACTTTTGACAAGAAGAATACCGGTATATCTCGTCAACCGTGTTAGCGACATGATTTTATGAATCTACTGACAAAAAAGCCGCTGGTACTGACAATTGTTACAAATACTGACGTGCCGAAAAGTTGTGTTTCAGTTTCTAACAGACCCTATGACCCGCCCTGATCAACAAACTGATATTTTGTATGCATTGATAATTTGATATATCTTTTCAACAATAGGAAATTACAACATCATCTTTAGGATTTCGTTGTAGCTTTCGTCTGTTACTTGTAATTCTTTGCGAGCTGCGTGCACGTGTATTGATCGACCTAGAATTAAAAACAAATTAATTCATCAAATATGAAACCATCGGAAATCAAATTCAGATCTTTCGGGAATTAGCGAACAAAAAATACCATTTCAAATAATTTAAAATTTCGGAGCATTTGAATAGAATCATAGAAACAAGGACAAGACTCACTTTCACTACGACGTCCAATTTTGCAAGTTTAGTCGGATAGTTTTGTACGACAACCCAAAGCTGTGTTTCCTGATATATTTTGTTTGTTGCAGTAATATCCATTGTTGCATTTTCTGTCTTCATATCTAAAATCATTAAAAGCAAAATTAGCGTTTCCTTGTTAGTGAATACTATTGTATCTAGCATTAAATGGATTATGTTAAGTTAATCAATTGATTCATCATAACATGATATCTTAGTTGACAACTTCCACTGCAGTTGTGGTCCTGTGGAATACACTCGAGCTGTTTCCAACTTTTAAAAATGAATTGCAAATGCGATCGTATCAAATGACTCAAAATGGCAAAATTTATATCTCCAAATCACTAGAAACGAATTGATTTCATAGGTTTGGCAAAATAAACTAAGTCATATTTAATACAGTGAAATATGGGAAATACTCACGTTCATCTGTACGAATCTACATACTGGTTGAAACAACCTTGATAAACTTCAAGTTCATAGATGTTACATCCATAAATATGATGGCACCACATGAATTTTGCGGTGTCAGGTATGGAAGGGCAATAGGACTTGTCGCATTCGAACCATGCACCCTTGTTCTGACAAGCGTGATTACCAGGCCTGGTAATACAAGTAACAGAATAAGTATAAAACTATGACACGGTTATATATAAATTTCTCATATTAGTCTAAATGCGTTTCGTTTCGCTAAATTCTTGATGTTGCTTTTGGTAAATCGTAATTGAAAATAAGCTCACAGGTATGTAACTTGTCTAATTGAACACTCCTATAATTTCTAGGATGATACTTAATATTGTTTGCAGTTCAAACTTACTTAGAGCAGTGTCTTGGCATTGACGACCCAGCTTGGGATGCAGCAGCACGAAGTTGTTGAACAGACGGCATTTTTCTCAGCTCTTCTGGTGTTTTTATTATTAATTTGGTGGATTATTTATCTATAAATATTTATACCATATCGCAGTTACATTGTTTGAAGAAGACATTGTTGGGGTATGCAACTGGAGCCGGAATGTCCTGCTTCAATTGACAGAGGTCTCTTGTAAAGGGGCTTTTTTCGGAGGGGGATAGTTACCAATGTCACGCGTAGCATGGAAATTGTATTCAATGTTGCTAGGTTTACAATTTGTCTCAACATTTTCGTGTTATTTCCTGATATATATTTATCGTTTTCTTTTCTTACGTTACATGAATATTGAAAAAGAATATAATGTATGGGGAATGAAATCTCATCTTGTAGGTTGGAATGAACTATAAAATTAATGATTGATTTAACGAACTATGTTTTCCACTTACCTTGACATCAGAAAAGTCTTCGAGTGCTTTCTTTGGAAGTTCCAATGCGTAGTTCACGCTGAGGTTTAACACACAAGCCAAAACGAAAACAAAGAGCTTGGCCATGTTTTGCCGTCGTTGTACTACGTCTTTATCTTGGGAGTAGGTTGAAGTTGAATGAATGAATGAAAAGTTGTAATTTTTTATGACTTTTATAGGAACTTCTTGTCCTCGTTGTTTTTGAAAAAGTCCTGATTCCCGTTCCCGCAAGCTGTTCGAGTTACCAGTCATCGGGCGTTCCAACACAATATGTTACTCAACGAAACTCATGAATTACTAATAAATAACTTATATCGTTGCATCTTCTCTAATTTTTGGTATACATATATCAACATTTACAGAATATTATGTATACTAAATAACTAAATGTGTACTATTGCTGTACCAAAAACAATTCGACTGGAAATGAGTGCTTCCCAAAAAGATCAAAGATTTAGAATCCATGCAAAGTAAAATGCTGTAGATTGAATTACGGTATATTACATTTACTAATGACAACTCATATAGGCTTATGTTATAGTTACAAATACGATATTTCCCATAGAATAACCTCAGAAGGACTTTGAATATACGATCTATTTATATTATACTCAACACTTAATGATGTCGTAACTTAACTCGTTATATATAAACAGACCCCAGTGTTAATCTGGAGTCAATATCAACACGCTTTCTGGTTTAAGATCCGGTGTTGCAATATGGTTAGTTACCAGATAACTGAGTTGAGTATTTTATGTGTAAATGTAGATTTTAGAATATATTCTAGGAATTAGTTAAGAAAATGTCCAATTGGAATCAGAGTGTGCTAATGTGCTTCATTTTCCTTAAATCATTTTGCAATTATCGTTATGTATTATCTCACTTGCATTAACTTGAGGGGAAATACTCCGTATAAATACGATGAACATGAAAGTATTTCCAGTTGAAAACATTCTTTACATTTAGTTAAAAACACGACAGAACGTATGTATTTTGTTGAAACCATGAATAAATTGCGATACAGAATGAATCACCTGGTTTTGTATAATTTCGTTTTCTATAAATTAAACATTTCATTTGTGTTCAACAGTTCATTTGACATTATATAAAATAAAAAATATAAAATAAAAAAACGAAATTTTGTGTTACCATTATTTGATCTCATTGAGTCATACAACGTTGGAAATTGAAAAATACATTGCGGTCCCTGATTCTTGAGAAATTTAATAAAATTTAAATCAGCTAACGCATTGACCTGAAAGCTAAATCGACTGTTATTTTGTTCCAATTTTAATTAAAACCTGTAATGTAAAAAACGTCGCCGGAAATAATTTTCTACTTTTTCTTGAGTTTTATATGTTCTATTAGCTAATATTCATATTGTCACAGTTTGTTCTGTGAACCGTGGTTCGTTAAATCCCCGGACCAAGGGTTCCGGATTGGTTAGCTATTGTAAAAGCCAACTCGACACAATCACAAAAATTACAGATGAAGCAAAAAACATAGAAATATATTTCCACTCGCACTTTTTTGGGGTGATCGGAGTCTTATAATAGTTTAGAATTCGAATGTACATACAGTTTTTATGCCCGGCACAAATGAACGGTGTCCATAACAATATACAAATCATAAATATATTTATACAACATACACACCTACTGTGGTCCGGAACAATACTTGACCCAGAGTGCAGACTAGATTGGACGGGAGACATTTGACGTAAAATCAGGTCGCAATATTTGCTTCCTTGAGATAAATATTTAACTCAAATTTACTCAATATCAAATATACTCAAAGTTTTTTCGAAAAAAAAAATGGAAAACAGAAAATAATCGATTTTTTAAGGCAAAAATAAAATTTTAGATTCCTGAACCTAAAAGAATCACTCGTCTGATTTTATTTACTTTTCTTCTAAAATATTAATATATTCTAAGCAAAAATTGTTCATTATTTAGATGTATATAAAAATAACCTAAAAAAGAGAGTCAAAGCGCGCTATTGAGTCAGATGACGTTACGAAATAGAAAATGGCGGTATTGTGCAATTCACTGGATAATTCAATAACAAACATAAAGATAGAATTATTCAAATTGTTAATCTCACACCTAAAATTCCCACGAAATATACTATTAGTAAAAATATCACGTATTTTATTGATTTTGCATTTATTTATAACCCACAAATAGATCATCAAGAATGGATCAGGGATGATTTCGAACAACCTGACAAAAACTACCGTCACTCAAAAAGATTTTCGTCCCCGAGGCAATACACGTAATAATATCAGGAAAGAAAAATAATTGAGCAATAGCATTGAGCTAAAAGTGGGAATTTATTTAGAAAACCACATGCCAAATGACGAAGTAAATGATCAAATGAATCCCAATATGGCTGAAAATTCATTTCATGCTTTGTTCACAAATGATGCAAAAGAGCTAACGTACATATTCCTTAGTATACCCGTAAGAAGTTTTTAAATGCAGTTGCTATGTTAGCCTATATATGTAGCCTATTTACTTTCACACAAATCAGTCGAAATCTTATAAACATTTGCCAAATATTAAATAAAACGGTTGCCACACACACACACACAGATCAGGGTTTTTTAAACGAAGTTTTGACTTCTTTCATTGAAGTCGAAGTCGTAAGATTAGAATTATTGAAATATTAGACCTTCAATGGTGATGAAATAAATGATTTTTTTTAATCTAATGGGTTTACTGTGAGTTCTTAACAATTTAATAAAAAGCTTTGCATACCCTAAACTTCTTATTATCAAGATTTAATTTTCTCGAGGTTTGGAGGGTGGTCAAAATTTATTACAACTCGTAGCAGGGTTCGAAATTTTTTTCAAGTTGGGATATGGAGTCTTGAGCCCCGATGTATAGCCTGCGATGGCCTCACTATATTTCCCCCCCAAAAAATTATTTATTAAACCGATTTTGGAAAATGAAAAGCTGAAATTTTTTACACCTCTTACAAGCAACTTTTTCTCATTTTGTGATGATAGGCAGACATAGTGATCGCAAGCGATTACGCTAAAATGTAAAAGTACTCATATCGAAACTACGGCACGGCAACCGTAATTTAAAATAACCGCAATAATTTTTCATGTTCAAAAAGAAAAAAGAGCAAAAATAAAAAAGATCAACGGTCAGATTTAGTATAAAATGGGCTTCTGAATTGCAATTATTCACAATTTCATTCAACAACTCCAGAAGAAGAGAGAAAACAAAACGTCTTCAACGATATAAAAATCGAAAAACATGGCAAAATTATTCTTTCTCGTTATTTTTTGTGTGTTGAACTTGAACATGATCTACAGCGTAGACCTGCCAGCAAAAGCTCTAGAAGACTTGTCAAAAGAACTAAAGGTATGCTGACTTCAGTAATCAAAAATTTATACCACACCAAAATCTGTTCAACTAAAAAAGTCCTCTGAATTTATTTATATAAACACATTTAGACTCCAGAAGAGTTGACTAGAACACGTGGGCAACAATTCCGTGTAGCAGCATCAAAAATGGAAAAAGAATCAAAATCATCGCTTTGCACAGCGTAAGTATATATTGTACAAATCGGGTACCTCGGTAGGAATAGTCACGCATAGTTTATAGTAATATTGTCCGGCACTATATTGTTATATCAAAACATCATTTGAAAAATTCCACGTAAACATTTGAATAAAAGATAGTTCCACCTTTTTAATATTTTTAATATTTTTTTGTTGTGACAATGAATGATGATAAAAGATAGAATTTAATTCTGCAGGCCTGGAATTCATGATTGTAAAAATATGGGCTCATCCATAAAATGTGACAAAGCGTCTTGTCCAGTAATTCCGAAAACAGGAGAATATACTTGGTGCCACCCATGGTTTGGATGTTCGAACTACACAATCGAGGTTTATCAGGGCCTATTCAAACAATACGTACCATCGAACAAGTGCAAGTAAGACTATAAATCATAATTCGTTTTAAAAAAGTTTTTTTTATGTACATTCATATAAGTTTTTTAATCACATGGTAGAGTAACACGCTTTATAAATCATTTCAGATATGAAAACGAATTATGCCAAGGAGGATTCTTTTGTAGCAAGATTTGTAATACCAAAACAAAACAGGTACTAACAAAACTCTGGATGGTTGTTTTAGAGAAACCAATAAAACTTGCACAGTTGGATGTCGAAGTTAAGGTAAGTACTTGGATGTGGACTGTCTAATAACTAAGTATCGTTTTAAAAGGTCTCATATCCAACAAACCTATTTACACCTAATACGTGCCAATCAAAATTTCATAAGAATTTTCACTTTATAGATTCAATTTCAATACCAGGTTCGCCCGGTTCAGTTTAGACCTTAACCTTTAATTACATTTATTTAATTTTTTTTTATTTTCTAGAGAAAATTCTATGAGCTCCATATTTATTATCCGACTTTCTAGATTACTATGCATGTATTTAAATTTGACACAATTAGAAGCATTTACCTTGCAAATAAGACATATATATTATTGATTCTAATTTTTTTTATTCAATTTCAGGTCAAGGAATGCGAATGTGTTGGTCTCGAATGGAACCCACTAATGGATGTATAACCTGATGATGGCAAAATTTCGGAAAAATATCATTTCATTTATTTTATTTGTGAGCTCATTAAAACTTAACCAGCATTAACACTTGTGAATTTGTTGTTATGTGTTTTAAAGGGGAACATTTACAAGCAGATTTTGGACGTTGTTACTTTCAACAAACTTTGATGATGTAGAGCTTTTCCCCAGCTTTAAATTTAAAAGATTATCTTGAACCTTTGGTTTTGTGCACAGAAGTTATCCCAATTCAGCAAGACGGTTCAAATTCAGGGTAAAAAGATATTTGGTTATTGTCAAACAATAGTACCCGGTTTAGATATTGCAGTTGTAAATAAAGGAGGGTCACAGGTCACAGCACTGGCATGTATATGATATTATTATTAAAAATGAACGGTTTACAAAGCTAAAACCGATATACAGTATATCCATATATCAAAAGATGCAAGAGGAATTCTGAGTGGCTATATATATTAGAAAAAACGTATTCATTGTTGTGTAGCAGTCCTTAAACCCCGATTTAACTCATCCGATTTTCGAGTCGAGTCAGTGTTCATACAGTCGAGTCACACTGTCGGTTAGTCCGAATCATTTGATATGAAAGACTCGAGTCATTTAAAATCTTCGATAAATGATCACACTCGAGTCCAAGCCAGGTCGATTCAATGACTTGAGCCTCCGCAACACTGACTGCGTTGTTTTTATGGGACAAGAGGATGTTTAAGTTATTGCAATTTGGATTTAACGTTGAGAGGGCCAGCAGTCCGAAAGCATATTAGTTGGATACCTATTTATATGGATTGGCTTTATTAGTATATAAGTACATTGGTAGACCGTGTTGGGGAAACACGAGTCTGTGACTTGACCCGAGTCACTTTATTTGAAAACTCGTAGTGACTGGACTCCAAATCGGACTCCACTCACCGCGAGGAATCAAGTCGGCGGTGATTATACCTCAGACTCCAAATTTGAAATAGCTTTGGGACTCGTTTGTCTCGTGACTCGATTTGTGTCGATGCCGATGAAATGCTGAAAACCTTATTCACTTTCATCTCAGTCAGAAATGTAGAGAATATTCTGTTGATAACATGTTTATCGATAAGAATCAAAATCTTCACTCCCCAGTACTACATGGCTGACGCATTTAAGTGATGTAAACGAGACTTGATAATAAAGCAAACACGATATACATAAAAAAACGATTTAACTACCTGTTTGTTACTGTTGTTTGTGAATTTCAAAATTGCTGAACGGAAAAGATAAAATTCGTTGTTTTTTTCATTTTTAATACCGGATATTACAATACTAGATGCTTGCTAATGAATGATGTTAAAGATTGTAATATTGTATCGTAAAGGGCGCGTTATTTTTTTTTTAACTTTTCTGAACAAATTTTTGAACATTGTTCTCTTGGCGACAAAAAATCATAAAATTGCCAAGAAATTTAAAATGCACTTAAACACAGAGTTTAAATTAAAAAAAACGATGTATTGGGGTGGCGACGATTATTACGATTGTCGTAGTAATGCAATGCAAATGACAAGGCATTATTGTGATAAGTTACTTTTCAAATTATTTGTCGCCCGATTCTTGATTGGTGGTGATGTTTACTGTTTGTAATTAGAATAAATTTTATTGTTATCCTTTATCAGAAAACTTCGAGTTTCATGTTTACTTTTCACAAATGACTCCATTCCTTGGATTACTTCAGGCGTGCATTCCTTGTAAATTTTTTGGATCGCGGTCAGAGTGTATGCCAATTAGTGTTCAGACGGGTGCCCAGGAAACCATTTCATATCTCCAATATTCCATCTTGCTTTCATCCCGTTATTTATGGTAATGATTTTGTTCTGAATAAAAGCAGTGCTAAATAGGGCTAGGAGACATTTTAAGATTGCATTCGTTACGACCTAATTTTTTAATCGAACTCAAGGGGTTTTCCCCCGCGTTTAAAACAGCGGAATATGATTCCCTTATCTACTGTATTATTTTGTATGTAAAGAGGTAAATTACAAATTGGTTTCTCGGTTTTGGCAGTCTGTCAATTCCGACTCTCTATCGAATATCTTCGTTTTCGTCTGGCTCTGAGCACTTCATGATTTCGCAAAAATGACTCTAATCGAGTAAATATTTGCTAATCCTTACTTTACACCTATAAGTCAGAAATTATTTTACAACATAGAATTTGATTAACAATCATTACTGTTTTGACGATAATGCAATCAACGTAAAAATGGTCATTCCAGTGAAAAACGTTTTATGCTGGGCGATCGAATCCACGTACGCATCTATCGCATCAAAATGATTTCTTCCATAGATATCTGCCGGCTCTCCTCCTTCTTATGCACAAAGTTCGTTAATTTGAGAATACGTGGCAGACCCCGAATTAGAATAAGCAATCCAGAAACATTTGCCATCATAGAACACCTTGCACAAATTTGTAAAACAAATGACAGATTTGTATATACGTCACTAGTGCTCTTTCTCTCAATGTTGAATGACACCCGTGCCGTCTGGAAATTTTATACTTCTGTTTGTTACTAAAAACATAACATTTTATGATTCGGTGATTCCCACCTTGTCGATGTTTCACATTGCTAACTTCCTCTTGTAATTCCGTAACTGTTGAGCCATATTCTGTCATTGATTCCAGCACTTCACTATAACATTACTAAAAATGGAGAGCAATGGCGCAAAAACGTCTTACACACGGAAACTTGACCAGGGACGCACACACCCCTAATAAATGCAGGAACTGTCTATAAGGATGGACGAGGGATATGCTATTGTAAAAAAATTTTAAAAACTACATGGCGATCTACAACATAGCACAGGAACAACTGCAGGAATCGCCGTTCCTTCTAATTTAGATGAGGCACCGTGAATCACTAATGCATCGATGCAATTTATTTATAATCAGCCAAATAGATTTTTTTTTTGAAGCGTGGTTGTGTTCAGGCTTGTTGGCAATGTCAAGGCAACATTTTGGTGCTGACGAAATAGCTTGTTTCTGTAATCAATGAATCAGTCTGTTTTAATATTTTAGTTTAAAAATGAAAGTAGTCGACAGAAGAGTACAACTTTTATTAGCATTTCATGTCGACTTATTTAGTATATAAATGTGACGTGAGGTAATTTGGACATTACAAAACTGACTTTGATGAACTTTGTTTTCTAGTTTCAAATCGACAGCTTCATAATTTCCCGGTGGTCATATCTCTTCTTTCATTCCTTGTATTTTTCTTTTCCCTGGCCTCCCTTGAATGTGCTCTATGATAGAGTAACTCAAAATATATCTACTGCCAACTTGACTTTCCGATTCAAACGCCTCTTCAATTGTTTTGCGAATAAAATGGTTTGTTCCATCAATTCCAAATGGCTTCACCAAGATCATCAAATAGAGAAAGATGAATGTAATTGAAAACTCTATATTTGATTTCGTTTATCTATGAAAGTTTAGTGTAGATATAAAATTCGTGAATTATGTTATATTTATATATTCCTCGACCAAGATAATTTTTAAAGAGAACAGTGAATTGACAAATGAGCAAGTTTGATGCCAAATTTCGCAAAGGATTTTGTGTTTTTCTGACTATAGTGATTTCCCTAAAACGCTTCCAATAAATTACGTTGTTTGTATCCATGAAACTGCAAATAATATTTCTTACATGTTACTGTACTAGGATCGACTTTTCTGAACTTTAAACGTTTTTTATTATTGAAAGTATAAATTGGTCTAACAATTAACATTAAATGACAATTTTAGATTGACCATTGTTCTTCTTGTAATGTAGAAAATCAGATAAAAAGGCTGAAAAAGTCAGTTCAAATTTGTTTTGTGAAAATCAATAGTACACTTCTACAGATGGCCAGCTGTTTACTCAATTTCTGCGTACACGTGCAAGTGCTGATCAGCAGTATAATATTGCAAACTTGTTATGAATTTATGGCTATTTATACTGACGATACCAGTTTGTACTCGAACTATATTATCCAACGTTGTGGTTATAACGAACGACTAATCGTTAAATTAATAAATAATTTAAGAACAAAGGAAGTTTTCCTAAACTTAATCTAAGAGGAATTTCTCAAAATTAGCTCAGAAGCAAAGATAAAAACTTCTTTATTCATTTTTTTTATTGAAATCATGCTAGAAATATAATCTTTCAATCTATGGATTTTGCTCATTGTAAAATTAGGATAGAACGTGGAGGTGATGGGAGATCAAATACTTGGTCTTTATTTCTTGGTCAATAAATGTAGTTTTGTCATGATTTAATTTAGATTAATATGTAAGTATGTTTCCTAAAACGTTTTTGACCTTATACTTAAGTACATACTACGCACTCCTGGATTATCAAATACGATTTACATTCTAATAATATAGTTATTTATCATATTACAGGTTATGTTAAGAGGTTCAAGAACAGAAAGATGAAATCCGTTCAATCTAATTCTAAGAATTTATTTTGTAGTAAACATGATTTTTAAAGCAATGCAGATAACATTCAAACTGAAAAATGGGTTCAATAATTTGATGTCTTTTCAGAGTAATGAATTAATGCTCGCACGCTGTTCCCACAAATGCCTTTCTTAGCAATAAATTTTCAAGGGATGCAAGGAAAGACAATAATAACAAGAGAGCTATGCTCGAATGTAGTAACACAAGCGATCCGAGTCACCACTATATTATAACACCAGGTACCGGTACCGCGCAGTTCACCATTCCCCGCAAACAAATCTTAGCGGAGCGAGTTTTACGTTCGCTTGTCAGCTGATATGCCTTCGCGGAATCGCCGCAAGGGGCCGCTATTTTTTTATTCCGATCACATCTTCGCACACCAAAAACGAATCTCTCAAAGTTCACAGAAATTTTTGAAATAAATGAAAGTAATAGCTTTCTGGCAAAAAAAACAATCTTTAACCACTGAACTTTTCAAAGCAATTGGTCCAATCAAATAGAAAAGCGAATTTTTAAAAACGTATCAGAGAACAAGAAGAAGAAGAGTGCCAGCATAAATTGCAAAACGATCGTTATGTCCACTGACGTATCCCAAAAGGAGATTACACGAATTACACGATTATACGAATCTTTTTATAAGTTTAAGAGAGATGTTCTTAACTTGATCAGACTTATGTTATGATGTCTTTGTCGTAAATTGAAATCAACATACCTGAAGATTGTTAGATTTCATTCACGATATCGTTTGTAAATGTTATTAATACACAATAACAGTCTAATTGAATTTAATGGCCAAACTTTTTTAATTGCTGAGACTCAAAACTTAATTTGAGCGTAGAATGAAAGAAATTGGCACCTCTAGTCTGGGTTAATGTACTCCTGCCAACTCAAGTACTTGCTTTAGTATTAAGAAAGTTTAGTTATTTTTTACATTTCCATGCGTATCAATTATGATAATAATCATATGTACTCCACAAACAGCAATGGCACGATAAAAAATGAAAAGTTTACAACCTACTGGATATATAAAAATACGTACTGATGGAACTATTTTAATAAGATGATATATGATACATATAAGCATGAATGTAATCTATCACGCCTCAATTTTAAATTTTGGCTTTCATCTTCTTGTAGCGGTAGAATACATTTAAGTGTCTTCATTTATCGGAAATTTCCAGGCGTTGCATGGTTACTTTTCACAAAGGACTCCATGCCTCGTATAGTGTTTAGGAAAGTTGTGCATTCCTTGTGAATCCCCTGTATCGCGGCCACTGCGTATAGCAAGATCAGTCCAGTCGGCATTGTTAGACGGGTATCCGGGAAACCATATCATATCTCCAACAGTCCAACTTGCTTTAATCCCGTTATTCATTGTCACGATTTTTTTCTAGAAAATAGCAGATCTATATCATGCCAGAGAACTTGTCAAGCTGATAGACGTAACAAATCATTTATATAACAGAGAATTGACAACGTGTTCAAAAAAGGGAATAAAATTTTAATATCCACCGCATTATTTACAAGTGGTTTCCGGTAACAAATATTTACACTCTTTTTCTGCCTCCTTGAGATATTTAGATATTTGATGAAACAATTATTGGATTTTTCCCTGAAAACTCAATCAGAATTATTTTTGATTCACAAGTCTTTATTAAACCGCCTCTGCGTCGAATCACTCCTTTTCGTTTGGCTCAGAGCAGTTCATGATTTTGCAAAAGTTACTCGAGTCAATTGCTAATAACAATATAAGATATTTGCTAATTCTTACTATACTCCATAAATCAGAAATTATGTTAAAACACGGCATTTGATTGACAACCATCACTGTTTTAACGACAATCCACTCAACATAAAAGTGGCCAATAGCGATAGGACTGTAATATATTACCGAATTAATGGTCATTCCAGTCCAAAATGTTTTAACCGGGAAGATTGAATCCACATATGCATCTATCTCTTCAAAATGATTTTTTCCATATATATTTGCCGGCGTTCCTCCTTCTTGAGCACAAATATGGCTATTTGAGAAGCTGTTACATCTTCGATCCTATGAAGAATAAACCAGAAACATTTGTCAGCGTAGGACACCTTGCACAAATCTGTAAAAGGGAAAAATCATACAAAAACATATTTGTTCATACATTAAATTTTCAGGCCACATATTATATTGCAGTCTTTATTTGATGTTATCGTAGAAAATGATAATTGTACAGTATGTTTAAGGGCATTAACAAAAACAGGTAGATGAAGCCATAACGATATGATTCGAACACTATGGTTAAAATACCTTATATTTTAGACTTATCCCCTACATAGTCGCCTGTAATGTCATAAAATGCTATCAAGGTTATAAATTTTAACTTTTTCGATTAAAATACCCAGTTTTTAAATTCAAGTTTACTGTTCAGATTGTTTTTTTTTCATTTTGCCTCATTGATTTATTACGAAGATTGTACTAAGATTCAATGAATAGGGTTTTGTTCTTTATCAGTTCTAAAAAAAAACATTCATTTTTTTTCTGTATATTTTGCATTTTTTATTGAAATATCCCTTGCATCGCCATGAAACTGCGCCATAATTTTGCCGCACACGCTGCCGGAATATTAATTTCAAAAATGTAAGAAAAAATTCTTGCCTGACTTTTACTTTCATTGCGTAACGTAATTGCCAACTTTATTACGGTAAAGACTGTTCAGTTAATTTAAGTTACTATACTTTTTTTCAGGGTTAAGGGGATATAGTTCAAAGTTATAAAAAATCCTTTTATCGGCCGTATTTCAATTTTTTTATCTCTTAAACAGTAAATATTTGGAATTATAAACCTGAACAAAAATACAAGATCTACAAAGTTTTGAACTAACATTATTCTGGATTGAGTCTTCACATTTTAGTAAAGTATGTAGAATTGATTGTGAAGGCCCTCGAGGTTTGAGCTTGAGAAGGCGAATATGGACAAGTCATCGATATTTGTGGCGTTTCGAAGGGTTTATTGCGAATAAAAACAATCGGCAAGTTTTTACATCAATTTTTATTGTATTAGTTTCGAACTATTTGATACAAAAAATCAAATAATACAGCTATTTTAAACGAAGCAGGTAACAAAACTTGATTTAAAACAATTTCTTTTGAACAAATCCATATCGATGATGCGTTCTTACCTTGTCGTTGTTTCAACTTTCCCACTTCTGCTTGCAATTCTGCAACTGATGAGCCATATTCTCTCATTGTTTCTTGCACTTATGTAATGAGAGATAACATATTACAAATAGAGAACAATTGCGGAGCAGACAATCTACTAACAATATAATCTATTTTATTATGTCAAGTTTTGTGAGGAAAAATCATTATTTCTATCAGCACTTCAGTAGCAATCGATGTCGGCTTTTTTAGAATATGAATATATATGGCGTAAAAAAATTTTTAGTCATTATGAAAAACTGACTTTGATTAACTTTGTTTTCCAATTTCAAATTGATAGCCTCATAATTCACATTTCCCGGTGGTCCTATCTCTCCTTTCATTCCTTGTATTCCTCTCTTTCCTGGCCTCCCTTGAATGTGCTGTATAGTAGAGTCACCGGAAATATCGCTACTGCTAATTTGACTTTCCGATCCGAACGCCTTCTCAATTGTTTTGCAAATAAAATGATTTGTTCCATCAATTCCAAAAGACTTGGTGATAATCATTAACGAAAGAAAGGTAAATGTAACAGAAAACCTCATATTTGGTTTCGTTTATATCTATAATTACAATGTAAATATTAAATAGGTGAAATATATTATATTCCCCAAGACAATAGTTAATGACAATTTCATACATGATATAGGTAGAAAATGGACAAACGAGTAAAAACGCTTATGTGTTGAAATGGTCATTCCTATATATTGCTGTACTATGCTCGGATTTTCTTTTCTTTGAAGATCTGCCAGTTTATAAAAATAATTGAAAAGGGTGACCGATTCACATTAATCAAAAATGACGAGTGTTTTCATATTGATCATTATTCCTATCGTAATGTAAAATTACATTTCAAACATTCACAAGATTCCATCTAATCTCCCAAAATTTTAATTTATTAACCACACGACTTTTGCCATGAATGTGATTCCAACGTTTTCTCGTTAATAACAAAAGATTCTCAGCTAGGAAATCTCTCAATATTTTCCACTTGAAAATCAATAGAAGAGTCTCACAAACTCTGTAGATCCACTTGTTGCAAATATTGATAAACAGTATAACAAGCTTTCTCTGAAGTCATGGATATTTAAACTGAAGACACCAGTTTATACACAAACTATATTACCCAACACTGTGGTAATAACGAGTGAATGACTAATCGTTAAAAAATTTATTCGTTAAATTACCTAACCTGCTAGTTATAAAATTATGATAAAACTGTTTATATTTCTTGCAATAATGATTTTTTGTTGAAAACAAATATTTACTTATAAGATGAAAATCCATGGTCTACATTCCTCGGTCTATGAATGTAGTTTTCCCACATATTAACTCAAAGAAGCATTTAACAAAAACCCCTAATGTTAGTAACCTTATACCTAAGTAGATAATTAGTATCTTGAGGGTAACTAAAGCAATTTACATGTTGATGATAAAAATATTTATCATATTTTACGTTATGATTTGTGATTTAGGAACAAAAATAATATCCGTTCCTTCGAATTTTAAGAATTTATTTTGGGTTGAGGATAATTTACAAAGCGATACGGATGATATTTAAAATGAAAAATGAGTTCAATATTTTGATATTCTTAAGTGTGTTCTTAACTTAAAGTGATATGATTTTTATATAGTAAATTTAAATAATCATAAGTCAGGATTGTTATCTTTCACTTTCATTCACCATGTGGTGTAAGAAATGTTCCCTCATTTTGAATAAGAACCTTAGGTTGTTTTCTCAAAAATTCTTCCGTAATAGATTCATATTCGGTCGAATGTGTGGATTTCTTATACAAATATTATACCAATAATTAATTGCATGTATTATTGCCATGATTTATAACACACGAGTCCCAGATATATTTAATTGTACCAACTTGGCTGTTCATTCCGGCCCATAATCTGGCATCCGTTAGTTCTACCGCAGGTCGCTCTCTTCTTTTTGCGTTTTAAGTGAGCGCTGGTCATTTGTAAGCTATATTTTTCATGTTCGATTTTATTCATTTATGTAATATTTGAGGTGATGGTCATATAAATAGATTAAACTGTGTGTAACTGTCAGAATAAAGCGACCCACTGATGATCATTACTGCAATAAATTCGAAGCAATAAAGGTTGGATGATCTATTTGAGATCGGGCTTTTTGAGTTTTCTGGTGTTGCCGCTCATTGAATCACACAATATCACTCCGTATTCCTAGTTATTACCTACATGTGGTTTGTAAATGCTTTCAATACACAATAACAATCTAATTCGATTTTTAAAATACAGTAACGTTAGCAATGGAATGGAAATGTGAATTATGAGGCCAACGATTTGAAATGGGAAAACAAGCCATTTTTTTTCAACTTTATATCTTCTTGCGCCTTATTACAAAAATGCTAATTATTTACTAAGTATAACGTCTGTGACGTTGAAAGGAATTTAGGTTGGCGGGCTGCAAAACTTTTTGAGGATGTCTCGCGGGCCGCAGTCGGAGAAAACCCAAAAGTGATCAAAACATCGCGATTTACTCACTTTAAATATATTTAGGAATTGGAGTTTACCGTTCTGGTCAGTTGTTTATGGAAGTTATATAAAGCCTTTAGTTATTTTAAAATTGCTTTCCGAGAAATACCGTGGCATTTTCGGTATCTTTTCTCGTGTTTGGTTTCGTAATGTCGCTTAAAATTACATTTTTTCGTGACAGATATTTCTTGAAAACACACCAAACACTGTGGTTTAACGGTGTTGTGGGTAAGGAAATACTTTTTCCCCCAGTTTACTTCGGTCACCTCTTCTATTGCACTCATATATGATAAATTGTTATATTTGACTAATTTTATTACTCGTAGCGTGATCAGGCCTGGTGCTATCATCTAAGAACAACAATTTCCGTCCAAGTTGGGACTCCGGACCCAGCTAAGAAACTGAATCGCGCGGCGCTAAGTCAGATCTGTTTGTCACTGCTGTCACATGTCCGACACTTGAAAATGAAGGAGTGTGTTTACTGAAAAATGGCACAAAACGTCTCTCCAAATGAGGAGTTACTTGACGGGAGCTTAAGGCACGAAATTTAGATAAAAAGCGCGACTCATCTCATCGGCTTTGTCCTGACTGCACAAGACAATTCATTCTTCTTGTACCGATCACTGGACGTCATTTCCCTATTGGCATCCGCTTGACGTTTATAGATGTAACATTGAAATTCTGTGATTTTAATCAATCTCTACATCCCCGTTGAAATAGTTTGAAAATAACTCAAAAATGATCTGCCAATAAATATATACAATGATTTAGTACACGCTAAAATTGTTCTGTGGGCGCTCGGAATGTGTCTGCGGTGTGGATCACCGTGATGTAAACAAATCGTGATTATTGCCAAGACTGTGGAACTTGGGACGATTTAAACAAATAACAAAACTAACTTCAAGATTCATCTTCAATGTTTGTACGTAAAAAAAGTGAAAGTAATATTGTAGAAGAGACTGCTTAATTCCTACGTCGTTGCAAGTTTTGAACGCAGTATATTATACAAAACTCGTGATGAATTCATGTCTGTGCTCAAACTATCCCAAATCACATAGGTATAATGAGTAAAATACTAATCGTTAAATAAAGAAATATGTTTCAATCGAAAAACATTTTCTTTCAAGTTCAAGAAAAACATTCATGTCATCTAATCTTTGAGTCAAAGTCACGTCACATCGTCGATTAGTACGTGTCCGAATCATTTGATATGGAAGACTCGATTCATTTAGAATATTCAATGAATGCCGGAAAGCCGAAGGCATATTAGTTGGGTACCTTTTTATACGGAATGAGTGTATACGCACACATAGGTTGACCGTGTTGAGGAAACTCGACATTGTGACTGGATTCGAGGCATTTTTAAAGACTCGAAATGACCGGGCTCGACACGTCGCAAAGAAAACCTAACTAGTTATTTGACTTGTGACTACAAAAGACAGTGACTCCACTCAGAACTCCGAATTCAAAAATAGCTGAGATTTGCACTTGAATATTGACTCGGCCCGTGACTCACTACTCACTACTGGTTGTTTAGGAACTTGTCAAAAATATTACAAACATTATTCCCTCTTATCTCGTCAGAAATGTGGAGAATATTTGCTGATTACATGTTTTTGATAAAAACCAAAATCTTCACTCCCCAAAACTACATGGCTGACGCATTTAAACAAAGAAAGGATTTACAACAAATGAGTTAATGCATTTCTATAAAAAATGATATATTTTCATATATATGGCACAATCGCTGTGATGTCAACATGACCTGATCATAAAACAAGCACCATATACATCCCAAAATACGATTTAACAACCGTGTTTGCTATTGTTGTTTGTGATTTCCAAACTTGCTGAACGATAAAGATAATATTCGGCCTTTTTCTTTTTTATACCGGATATTACAATACTGGATGCATGCTAATGAATTGATGTTAGAAGATCGTAATATTGGATTATTTAAGGCACGTTCGTTTTTTTTTGGCCTTTCTGTCCAAATATTTAAACACTGTCTTCTTGGAGACTAAAAATCATAAATTTTAAGGATTAAAACTGTGCTCAAACAGTGAATTTAATTTTTAAGGGGCGTTCCGACTGTCCTAGAAATAAAATGCATATGACAACGCATTAATGTGATAGATAATTTTTCCAGTTATTTGATGCACGATCCCTGATTGGTGGTGATGTTCTCGGTTTCTGATTAGAATAAATTTTATTGTTATCGCTTATCAGAGAACTCCGAGTTTCATGGTTACTTTTCACAAATGACTCCATGCCTTGGAGCACTTTTAGGCCAGTTGTGCATTCCTTGTGATTTTTCTGGATCGCGGTCAGAGTGTATGCCAATTAGTGTCCAGTCGGCGTTGCCAGACGGGTGCCCAGGAAACCATTTCATATCTTCAATATTCCATCTCACTTTCATCCCGTTATTCATGGTAATGATTTTGTTCTGAATAAAAACAGTGCTAAATAGGGCTAGAAGACATTTTAAGATTTTATTCGTTACGACTTAATTTTTTAATCGAACTCAAGGGTGTTTACCCCGCGTTTAAAAAGCGAAATATGATTCCCTTATCTATACTGTAATATTTTATGCTAATCCTTACTTTACACTTATAAATCAGAAATTATGTTAAAACACGGAAATTGATTGAAAAATATTACTGTTTTGACGATAATGCAGTCAACTTAAAAGTGGCCAGGAGCGATAGGAATGTACTATATTACCGATTTATCAATGGTCATTCCAGTGAAAAACGTTTCATGCTGGGCGATCGAATCCAAATATGCATCTATTTCTTCAAAATGATTTCTTCCATAGATATTTGCCGGCGATCCACCTTCTTGAGCACAAAGTTCGTCAATTTGAGAATACATGACAGTCCCCGAATTAGGATGAGCAATCCAGAAACATTTTCCACCATAGAACACCTTGCACAAATCTGTAAAACAAATAACATATTTGTATGCATATACAGGTTTCACACTACGTAAGCTTGCAGTTTTTATTTGATATAATCGCATACAGTGTTTATTGTGAATTTAGAGCCTCGAAAAAAAATCGATCAAGGCATAATTTTTGTTTCGAACATCACGATGGAAATACAGAATATTCCGGTCCCATTCCTAATCTTAGCCTGGAGGAAATGTCATGAAAGGACTAGAGATTTATAGATAGATTATAACTTTTCCGTAGATAGTGTTCTTATTCTTAATGTTGAATTACGCGCTTGCCGCCTGGAATCTTTCTCTTTTTGTTTGTTACTAAGAACCAAAAAAGTTAGGATATGGTGATGCATTCCTACCTTGTCGATGTTTCAGATTTCTAACTTCTTCTTGTAATTCCGTAATTGTTGAGCCGTATTCTGTCATTGATTCTTGCACTTGTGTAAAGATAGATAGGATAACATAACGGAATCTTAACCATGGCTACACGCACCCCTAATAAATGCTTACTTAGGGACGATGGAAATGCTCAATTGTAAAGTTGTTTTTAAAACTACATGGCGAGCTACAACATAGCACAGAAACAACTGCAAAAATCACTGTTCCTCATGAGAAACCGTGAATACTTATGCATCGCTGCAATTTATTTATTATATAGAATGTTTTGCTAGAGCGGGGTTGTTTTGGTCTTGTTGTTGATGTCGAGGCGACATTTCGGTGCTGAAGAAATATTTTGTCTGAGTAAATAATGAATCAGTCTATTTCAATATTTTAGTTTAAAATGAGAGTAACCGCCAGAAGGGTACAACTTTTATTCGATTAACTTTTATTCCACCTAGCGTGAATTTAATGACTGTTTCATTGATTTTGCAAATTTGTTTCTAAGCCACATTGAAGTGTTCCAATATATTTGAGCATTGCTCTCTTGTTCGCTAATGTATTACCAATTTAATTTCAATATTTAGTTATTTTAGTGTCAAATACACTAGAAAAAAAAACACTAAAACACTGAAAATAACCCACTATTTTCCCGCTCTGTGAAGATATTAGAGAACAAAGCTTGATTTTATTTTCAGTATAGTAGCATTTTATGTCGGCCTGTTCAGCATATGAATATGGCGTGAGAAAATTTAGACATTATAAAAAACTGACTCTGAATAACTTTGTTTTCCAATTTCAAGTCGATAGCTTCATAATTCACATCTCCCGGCGGTCCTATCTCTCCTTTCATTCCTTGTATTCCTCTCTTTCCTGGCCTCCCTTGAATGTGCTGTATGGTAGAATCACTTAAAATATCGGTACTACCCACTTGACTTTCCGGTATGTACGCCCCCTCAATTGTTTTGCAAATAAAATGATTTGTTCCATCGATTTCAAATGACTTCATCAAGATCATTAACGAGAGAAAAGTGAATGTTATTGAAAACTCCATATTCGGTTTCGCCATATTTCTATGAAATTATAGTGTAAATATAAAATAGGTGAATTATTTTATATTCCTTCGACGAAGATAATATTTGAAACCAACAGTGAATTAACAAATGCGCAAGTACAATAGCGCGAAATTATGCAAATGTTTTGGCGTTTTGGTGCATTAACATTTTCTCCAAAACGCCACCAATACGGTTCGAGTAAATTATGTGTATTGGATAAACTGCAATAGCTTTTTCCCATTTCTAGCTGAACTGGGGTCAAGTTTTCTGAGCCTCTATTTTTTTTCTTATGAAAATCGGTCTATTTAAAGGTGAACAATTAACACTAAATGACAATTTTTGATTGACCATAGTCTTCTTGTAATGGGAAAATCTGATAAAATTTCCAGAATTTCTTTCAAAATGTTCTACTTGAAATTCAATAGTACACTTCTACAGATTGCCAGCTATTTACTCAATTCTACGTACACGTGCAAGCGCTGATCAGCAGTATAATATAGCAAACTTGTTTTGAATTCATGGCTATTTATACTGACGATACCGGTTGTTCTCAGACGATAATGTCTCAGGCTAATCCTATAATGATAAAGCGTCTTATGATTGACGCACAATACTTTTCTTGTTGACGCAGTTAATACGTGCTGATTCGAAGTGAAGTACCTGGTCTTCATTTCTTGATAAATGCATGTTGTTTTGCCATGATTTCATTAAGATCAACATTTAAACTTAATTCGAGCGTCGCATGTCAAATAAATCGTCTCGCTGATCTGGGTTAAGGTACTTTTACCAAAGCCGGACCTTGCACAGGTATTAAGTAGTATTTTTTACATTTCCAAGCATATGAACTATGAAGATAATAATTTATACTTCACAAAGACCAATAAATGGAACGATAATCAGAAATTACTAAATACATAAAAAAACGTACTGATAGAACAATTTTATTGCGTATTATATGATACATATAGGCATAAAGTTAATCTGTTACTTCTACCTTTCTACAATTTTGACTCCATTCTTCTTGTAGCTGCGAAAAGCACATTTAAATGTCTTCATTCATCAAAAAATTCCACAAGTTTTCATGATTACTTTTCACAAATGACTCCTTGTACGACTTTTAGGAAAGTTGTGCATTCTTTGTGGATCCCCTGTATCGCGGCCAGTGTGTACAGCAAGTATAGTCCAGCCGGCATTTTTAGACGGGTATCCGGGATACCATTTCATATCTCCAACAGTCCAACTTGCTTTAATCCCGTTATTCATTATCACGATTTTGTTCTAAAAAATAACAGTTATATCTTAGACCAGAGAACTTGTCAGCCTGATAGGCGTAACAAATAATAATTTAATAAAGAATTGACAGCGAATTTTCCCTTATCATGTTTAAAATGAGAAATAAAATAATATCAGTATCTAATTAATTATTTTTAAGTGGTTTCCGGTAACAAATATTTACACACTTGTCTGCCTTCTTGAGATATTTAATGAAACAATTATTGTATATTTCAAATAAACTCGACCAGAATTATTCTTGATTCTTAATTCAAGTCGCGTTGGCCCCTATCAATCCGACTCTGTGTTTTATCACTCCGTTTACGTTTGGCTCAGAGAATTTCATAATTTTGCAAAAATGAGTCAATTGCTAATAATAATATTAAATATTTGCTAATCCTCACTATAACACTTAAATCAGAAATTATGCTAAAACGCGACTTTTAATTAACAACCACCACTATTTTGACGACAACCCAGTCAACCTAAAAGTGGCCAAAAGCGATAGTACTTTAACATATTACCGAGTTAATGGTCATTCTAGTCCAAATTGTTTTAATCGAGGAGATCGAATCCACATATGCATTTATCTCACCAAAATGATTTTTTCTGTAGATATTTGCCGGCGTTCCATCTTCTTGGGCCCAAAGTTCGTTAATCTGAGAATACTAGGCAGACCCTGAATTAGGATAAGCAAGCCAGAAACATTTGCCACCATAGAACACCTTGCACAAATCTGTAAAACAGATAACAAAATTTGAATTTATATACAGGTTTCACACTACGCCAGATTGCGGTTTCCATTTGATATAATCGCATACAAGGTTAATTGTGAATTTAGAACCTCGACTCAATGTAAAACAAATAACAAATTTGAATTTATATACAGGTTTCATACTACGTCAGATTGCGGTTTTCATTTGATATAATCGCATACAAGGTTAATTGTGAATTTAGAATCTCGACTTAATGTAAAACAAATAACAAATTTGACTTTATAGACAGGTTTCACACTACGTCAGATTGCGATTTTCATTTAATATAATCGCATACAAGATTAATTGTGAACTTAGAACCTCGACAGAAACAGGTAGATAAAGCCATGAATTTTGTTTTGATCACCAAGGCTAATATGCACATCATTCCAGCCTCATTTCTATACTCTTAGTCTGAAAAAAATGGTCATGAAAAGGCTAGAAATGTTTATAGATAGATTATAACTTTTTCATAACTAGTGTTCTTATTCCTAATGTTGAGTTACACATTTGCCGTCTGGAATACTTCTCATTTTGTTTGTTACGTAGAACAAAAAAATCAATGGATGATGCATTCCTACCTTGTCGATGTTTCAGATTTCTAATTTCTTCTTTTATTTCCGTAACTGCCGTATTCAGATATTGATTCTTGCACTTCTGTAAAGATAGATAACATTATTGTAAATGGAGAACAATAACGCCGTATTGCAATACTACACAAACTTTTAACTAGCAAGGTTTCACGTATCCCAATGAGAGAGAAAATTGTCTCCAGGGATGGTAGAAATGTTTGATCATAATCTAAACGACAATAAACCCCGAAGCGCGATGGGAACAACAGCATGAATCAACACTCTCCTCATTTTAGCGGGTACTATGAATAATTATGCATCACTGAAAATAATTTTTTAATTAGCCATATAGATTGTTTCACTAACGCGTAATCGTTTTTAGTCTTGTTTTTGATGTCGAGGCGACATTTTGATGGCAACCAAATAGCTTGTTTTAACATTATAAAAACTGACTTTAATTAACTTTGTTTTCCAATTTCAAATCGATAGCTTCCTAATTCACATTTCCCGGTGGTCCTATCTTCCCTTTCATTCATTGTATTCCTCTTTTTCCTGACCTTCTTTGAATGTGCTGTATGGTGAGTCACTTGAAATATAGCTACTGTCAAGTTGACTTTCCGATGTGAACGCCTCCTCAATTATTTTGCAAATAAAATGGTTTGTTCCGTCAATTCAAAATGACTTCGTCAAGATCATTAACGAGAGGAAGTTGAATAAAATAGAAAACGCTCTATTTGTTTTTATTTATATTTATGAAATTATAGTGTAAATATGAAATAGGTGAATTATTTTATATTCCTTGACGAATATATTATTTGAAACCAACAGTGAATTAACAAATGCGCAAGTACAATAGCGCGAAATTATGCTAATGCTTTGACGTTTTGGTGCATTAACATTTTCTCCAAAACGCCACTAATACGGTTCGAGTAAATCACGTTGTGTGTTTTTGATAAACACACTGCTAATGAGCAGTATAATATGGTAAACTTGTTATGAATTCATGGCTATTTAATTTGACGACAATATCCCACGTTGTAGTTATAACATCGACTTACTTTCGTTAAAAAAAGAAATATATTAAGGACAAAAGAAGTTTCCTTAGACTAAATCTAAGAGGAATTTCTAAAAATCAGCGCCGAAGCAAAGATAAAAGCTTTATTGTTTTTACTTTTTTTAAGCGTTTTGGCAGGGTTAAATAACGGATCGGAGTTGAAGTACTCGGTCTTCATTTCACTACTCGGTAAATAAATGTAATTTTGCCATGATTCAATTAGGATTAATATGTAAGGATATTTCCTAAAACGTCATTAGCCTTATACTAAAGTACAGACTACGCACTCCTTGATTATCAAATACGATTAACATTGTAATAAAATAGCTATGTATCATATTTTAGGTTATGTTGAGGGGTTCAGGAACAGAAAGATGAAATCCGTTCAATGCAATTCTAAGAGTTTACTTTGAAGTAAACATGAATTTTGAAGAAATACAGATAACATTCAAACTGAACGAATAGGTTCAATAATTTTATGTATTTCTCAGAGTAACTAAATTAATGCTTGCGTGGCATGACAGTAGATCGTCTCGCTGGTATGGGTTAAGGTACTTTTACCAAATCAAGACCTTTCACTGCTATTAGATAAGTTTTTTTAGATATGTCCTCTATATTCATTTGAGCCAACTTGGCTGCCTATTCCGGACAATAATCTGGCATCCGTGAGTTCTCCAGCAGGTCGCTCTCCTCTTTCTGCGGTTTAGTGAGCGCACCTCTGTCATGAGCTCTGGGAGCTTTTTTCATTTTTAAGTTCCATTTTTGGACACGTAGTGGACCAGTTAATGATTTAATTCACGTTGATACTGAATCACGAAGACCGGATCATTGTCACAGGACTTTGAAAAGCTACGAGAGTACCGTCACCGGTACCCTGTGTAGTCGAGTTGTCTCTCTGAGACTTGTCCATTTAGTCGAGTTGTCCGTGGGGTGTGGCGTAGTAGTCGGCTTCCGATAAAATGACGATAAAATATTAAGTTTTTCCCTTTGTGTTCACATATTTGACTATAGCTTTTTGTTTATGTTTGTTTTTATTCATTGGGTTAATATTTGGTGATGGTCCTATGAATAGATTTAAATTGATTGTAACTGTTGGAATAAACTGACACACTGATGTTTATTATTGCTGTGATAAAGCCAGAGCAACAAAGGTTGAATAGTCTATTTGCGAACGGGCTCTTTGAGTATTTCTGGTGTTACCGCACATTGGATCACACAATATCATTCCACAATCCTAATTAAACGATAGCACCAGGTATTAGCTACATGTGGCTTGTAAATGTTTCAATACCTGATAATCATCTACCGTATTTCTCGGCCATTAAGTCGCTTTTTTATAGACCCAATTTTTTAGCCTTGTTCAGGGAGGGGGGGGGTCGTCTTAATAGATGGCTTTCCTCTTTTTATTGTTTGTGGGGATTGCTTATTTTTCGCACTAGTCTTCTCAAACATGATTTATGTAAGCTTCATACCTGGGTTGATATATTTTATAATGTATTCACACAAGACTGTAAAACACAGCCTAAACCATGGACGTACAGTACATAGCAGTATTATTACACCCTATTCATAGGATATTTCAATGTTTCAGTTTATGGGTTGTTCAAAATGTTTAAAATTACCTATTTATTGTGAAGAATTAATGCTGGAGGATTATTCTACCTGAAACAAACATGACCTGGTTCTAATCATATCAAGTTATTTATACATATTAGTGTTTAACTGACCAACAGAGAAGCAATTTTTCAGCCCGTCTTGAGGAAAAAAAAAATTTTCACTGCTAAAAATATGCTTCGTTTCATTTGTCGTGTAGATCTATTCATCAGGAAATATGGTAATTCATTTTTAAAAATAACGTTTTAGATGGAATTTCTAGCGTCGATGTGACTCATATTTTTCCATTCCACAATTGCGGATTACTGTAGTTCAGCTTTATTATGTTCCATTATTAATCATTACCAAAGGTGACTAGAGCAGAGCATTTTTGAATGCCTGATGATTTTAGAATCGAACCAAATATTAACACATAAAAAGACACATGTTTCGCGATTAACGCACTAGGAAAAATAAACTTATATCAGAAGTATTTTTTAAAAATATGTCTTTATATAAAATTTACGGATTCATCAAGGATTCAAGTATGAATTGACAAAAATAAGTACATTATGATATCGAGGTATATACTTAAAATATCATTTATATTTAATATTTGATGAATACCATATGAATACAGTTTTGTAAACAATTATTTCAAAAAATTCTGATTAAATAAAAAAACATCGATTTTGTGAAAAGGCCTATTTCCAGATCGCCTCATCTTCCAAAATTTAAATTTAGAAATGCATTTGTTGCCAACAATACCCAAACTTATAAACCTACCTAAACTAATTATAAATTTGGTTAGGGTGCGTCAAGGTTTCTACATCTTGTAACTTAAGTTAATTAATAAAAGCCTAGAAAACAATCTAAATGAGTTTTCCTCGAATGGTTTTACTACACTGAATACACGGACATTTAGTCCATAATCCCATTTTCAGTTTAAATATCATCAGAATCGCTTTATGAATTATCTTCAATTCAAAATAAATTCTTACTATGATCGAACGAACTTGTAACGTGTAATAAATGCATAAGTGTGTTATCGAAATGCAAAGTTAGTAAGTTTTAGTTGCTCCAAAAATGCTTATTATTTCGGGTATAAAGTTCATGACGTTTGTTACATTACATATCTATCTAAATAAATCATAACAACACTGAATTTATTGGCAGATGAATGAAGACCGAGTAGTTCATCTCCATCAATAAATATTTACAGCGTTAACAGACAAAAAGTGTTTTGCGTCGAATACAAGCCGTTTTATCATAATTTTACAATGAGGAGAAACTATACATTAGCTTTCTCAGGAAATTTCCACCCAAAACATCATAAAGCTTTCTACTTTGCTCTAGAGTTATTTTTGAAAAGTTTCTTCTAGATTTAGCTTAGAAATTTGTTTTCGATTGAAACATATTACTTCATTTCACGATTAGTATTTTACTCGTTATAACTTAAATGTGATTTAGGATAGTTTAAGTACAGACATGAATTCATCACAAGTTTTGTGTATACTGCGCTCAAAACTTGCAACGACGTAGGAATAAGCAATCTCTGCAATTGATTTTTTACGTAGAAAATTTTGAAGATGAATCTTGAAGTTAGTTTTGTTACCTGTTTAATTCGCAAGTCCCACAGTATTGGCAATGGTCATGTAGACATTTTTTTAAATTTTGCTCAAAGTACTATTAAATTTTATGTATCATGTATATAAGATATATGATCAGAATTGGTCACTCTTATTGAGACTCATTTTTACAATCGAGTATTCCGTAAAAGTGCAGGAAGTTTGATCCTAGTACAGCAACATTTAGGAGAAAACAATTGTAGATTATCAAATACACACAACGTGATTTATGTTAAAGCTTATTAATGTGGTTTGGAGAGATTGCAACGTGCATCGAAATGTTATAATTTGCATAATTCACATTATTGTCCATACAGAGCAAGGAGGTATTGCATCTCCTTTCAGCAAGACGGTTTAAATTCGAGGTAAAAAGAGAATTTGAATATTGTCAAACGATAATACCAGGTTTGGGTATTGCAGTAAAAAATAGGAAGGGACTAACATATATATATATACATATATATATGATATCAATATTAAAAATTAACGGTTTACATACCTAAAAACCAGTATACGGTATATCCATATATCAAAAGAATTCTGACTGTAGAATGTAAACTGTAGAATACCTGAAAAAAAAACGTATTCAGTGTTGGGTATCAGTCCATAAACCCCGATTCAAGCCATCCAACCCTCGAGTCCAAGCCAGGTCTTATTTTGCTACATATGTGTTGGGTGTATTTTCATATAGGCCTACGCATACCGGTCGACGGTGTTGGGAAGAATCATGTTTGTGACTCGAGTCGGACTTTCGTCAGTTTTTCAAACTTAGAAGTGACTCGAGTGACTGAACTGAAATTACCGCAAATAATACTTGGCTTTGTGACTCGTAATTGCAGTGACCTTACTTGGGAATCCAAATTTGAAATAACTTAAGTCCATATTCTTGATTCGGGACTCGTTTGTTTTTCGACTCGAATCGACTCACTATCCAATGTCCGAGTACCTTATAATGTCGATAAAATTCTGAAACCTTATACACTTCCAACTCAACATGTTTTTTGATATGAATCAAAACTTTACTGCCCAATACTACGTGACTGACTGACGCATTTAAACAAAGAAGTTATTTACAACAAATGGTTTAATGCAATTTAATAAAATTTGATATATTTTCATATATGTGGCACAATCACTGTGATGTCAACATGACCTAAAGAAAGCACTATATACATCCCAAAAAACGATTTAACTACCCTGTTTGCTACTGTTAATTGTGATTTCCAATATTCGGCTATTTCCATTTTTATACCAGATATTACAAGACTAGATGCATGCTAATGAACTGATGTTAGAAGACCTTAATTATTGGATACGTAATGAATGGATCAATTTGCAAAATTTTTTTTTGCAAATTTTTTTAAGGCGACGTTCCGACTGCCCTAGGAATAAAATGCATATGACAAGGCATTAACGTGACATTTCAAATTATTTGTCGCCCGATCCTTGATTGGTGGTGATGTTCTCTGTTTCTGATTAGAACAAATTTTATTGTTATCACTCATCAGACAACTTTGAGTTTCATGATTACTTTTCACAAATGACTCCATGCCTTGAGCTACTTTTAGGCCAGTTGTGCATTCCTTGTGGTTTCTCTGGATCTCGGTCAGAATGTATGCCAATTAGTGTCCAGCCGGCGTTGCCAGACGGGTGCCCGGGAAACCATTTCATATCTCCAATATTCCATCTCGCTTTCATGCCGTTATTCATGGTAATGATTTTGTTCTGAAAAAAGCAGTGCTATTTAAGGCTGGGAAACTTTTTAAGATTGTACTCGTTACGAATTAATTTTTTATTCAAATCCTAAGTTTTTTCCCAGCGTTTAAAACAGGATTTCCTTGACTACTTTATTATTTTGTATGTAAAGAGGTAAATTACAAATTGGTTTTCGGTTTCGGCAGTTTTTCAATTCGACTTTGTGTCGAATAACTTCGTTTTCGTCTGGCTCTTAGCACTTCATGATTTCGCAAACATGACTCTAATCGAGTAAATATTTGCTAATCCTTACTTCACACTTATAAATCAGAAATTATGTTAAAACACCAAATTTGATTGACAAATATTACTATTTTTACGATAATGCAGTCAACTTAAAAGTGGCCAGAAGCGATAGGAATGTACTATATTACCGATTTATCAATGGTCATTCCAGTGAAAAACGTTTCATGCTGGGCGATCGAATCCACATATGCATCTATTTCTTCAAAATGATCTCTTCCATAAATATTTGCCGGCGTTCCACCTTCTTGGGCACAAAGATCGTCAATTTGAGTATACGTGGCAGCCCCCGAATTAGGATAAGCAATCCAGAAACATTTTCCACCATAGAACACCTTGCACAAATCTGTAAAACAAATAACATATTTGTATGCATATACAGGTTTCACACTACGCCAGATTGAAAAATCATAAAACGTAGCTCACGGGCTTAGTAAAAGTTTTCCATAAAATAAAGGCTTTATTGCGGCAAAGTCTGTTCAATCAATTTAAATTGCCATACTTTGTTTTTAAGGTTGAAGGGATAGAGTTCAAAGTTATAAAAAAAATTCATTTATTCGGCCATATTTCAATTTTGTTCAATTTGAATGGTAAATATTTGGAATTATAAACCTGAACAAAATATACGAGATCTATAAAGTTTTGAACTGACATTATTCTGGATTGAGCTTTCACATTTTAGTAAAGTATGTAAAATTGATTGTGAAGACCCTCGAGGTTTGAGTTTGGGAAGACAAATATGGACAAGTCATCGATATTTGTGGCGTTTCGGTTTATTGCGAATAAAAAGCAAATGGCAAGCTTTTATATCCATTTTTCTTGTTTCATTTTTGACCCATTTTATACGAAAAAATAAAATAATTCAGCTATTTTAAACAAAACAGGCAAAAAAACTCGATTTAAAACAATTGTTTCAAAACAATTTCTTTTGAACAAATCCATATCGATGATGCGTTCTTACCTTGTCGTTGTTTCAACTTTTCCACTTCTGCTTGTAATTCTGCAACTGATGAGCCATATTCTGTCATTGATTCTTGCACTTCTGTAATGAGAGATAACATATTACAAATAGAGAACAATTGCACAGCAGACAATCTACTAACAATATAATCTATTTTATAATGTCAAGTTTTGTGAAGAAAACTCGTGATTCCTATCAGCAGTATAGTAGCAATTCATGTCCGGCTTTTTTAGAATATGAATGTGACGTAAAAAAATTTAGACATTGCATAAAACTGACTTTGATTGACTTTGTTTTCCAATTTCAAATCGATAGTCTCGTAATTCACATTTCCCGGTGGTCCTATCTCTCCTTTCATTCCTTGTATTCCTCTTTTCCCTGGCCTCCCTTGAGTATGCTGTATTGTAGGGTTACTCGAAATATCGCTACTGCCAACTTGACTTTCCGATACCAACGCCCCATCCATCTTTTGGCAAATGAAATGGTTTGTTCCATCAATTCCAAATGACTTCGTCAAGATCATTAACGAGAGGAAGGTAAATGTAATAGAAAACTCCATATTTGATTTCGTTTATATCTATGAAAGTATAGTGTAAATATGAAATAAGTGAATTATATTATATTTCTTCATCATCACATTATTTTGAGCGAACAGTGAATCAACAAATGCGCAATTACCATAGCGCGAAATTATGCAAATGCTTTGAAGTTTTGGTGCATTAACAATTTCTCCAAAACGCCACTAATGCGGTTCGAGTAAATCATGTTCTTTGTATTTGATAAAATGCAATGATTATTTTCCGTATGTAGCTAAACTAGGATCGTCTTTTTTGAGCCATAACTTTTTTTTTGAAAAATCGGTCTCAATAAAGGTTTTCAAATGACATTAAATGGCAATTCTAAATCTGCTATTGCTCTTCTTTCAATGTGGAAAATCTGATAAAATTACTTCAAGAATTCCTTTCAAAATTTTTTACGTGAAAATCTATAGCACACTTCTACAGATTGTCAGCTATTTACTCAGTTTCTGCGTACACGTGCAAGTGCTGATCAGAAGTATAATATAGCAAACTTGTTATGAATTCACACCGTGGGGTATAACGATCGACCTACTTTTTGTTAAAGTAGGAAAAATGGTAAGGGCAAAGGAAGTTTTCCTATACTAAATCTAAAAGAAATTTCTCAAAATCAGCGCAGAAGCAAAGATAAAAGCCTATGTATTTATTTTTGATTGAAATTATTTTAAAATATAATCTTATAATCTATGAATTTGCTCATTGTAACATTATGATAGAACGTGGAGGTGATGGGAGATCAAATACTCTATCTTCATTTCTTGGTCAATAAATGTTGTTTTGCCAAATGTTGTAATTTAGATTGATATGTAAGTTATTCCCTGAAACATCTTTGACCTTATACCTATGTACACACTACGTACTCCTGGATTATCGAAAACGATTTGCATTCTAATAATATACTTATTTATCATATTTTAGGTTATGTTGAGGGGTTCAGAAACAGAAAGATCAAATTCGTTCAATCTAATTCTTAGAATTTATTTTGAAGTAAACATGATTTTTGAACAAATACAGATAACATTCAAACTAAAAAAGGGTTAAATAATGTGATGTATTTTTAGAGTAATTAAATAATGCTTGTAACTCTGTAGCCACAAATGTGTTTCTTGGATGGAACTCTTACTGTCCATATGTATCTCATTTTTTTTTTCAATTCAATGGTGTTAATGAAATCTTTTACAACTCGGAATGCGACTCGCTAAATCCACGCCCTGTCTTGTGAGTTCACTAATTCAACTCAACTTATTATTCAAACTTCAAAAATTTCTGGAACTGAAACCTAATTTGAGCGTGACATGACAGTAACTCGTTCGAGAATATGGCGTATATACTGGTACAAGATGGTCATCCGAATAGATAACACTTTCTTATAGGTTATAAATAGTGTTACCTCCAATAACAGTATATGTATCACCCCCTAACTTTGAACCCGAGAAAATGCGAATATTTGATTGAGGTTCTTTTACCAACTCAAGAACTTGCACTGGTATTAAGTGAGTTTTATAGACATTTCCAAGCATATCAATTATGAAAATATTAGTTTATACTTAACAAACACCAATGGTACGATAATCAATGAAAATTTCCAGAACTTACAGAATATATAAAAATATGCACTGATGATACAATTTTATTACGTGATATATGATACATATAAGCATAAAATAATCTATTACTTCTACTTTTCATTACATATAAAAGCCTCAAAGAGGGCAAGGGCAGTTTTCTCAGACTAAATCTAAAATGAATTTCTCAAAATCGGCGCAGAAGCATAAAGATAAAAGCTTATTTACATACTTTTGATTGAAATTATTTTAAAATATAATCTTATAATCTATGAATTTTGCGCATTGTAAAATTATGATAGAACGTGGAGGTGATGAGAAGTGAAATACTCTATCTTCATTTCTCGGTCAATAACTGTAGTTTCGCCATGATTTAATTTAGATTAATGTGTAAGGTATTCCCTGAAACATCTTTGACCTTATACCTATGTACACACTACGTACTCCTGGATTATCGAAAACGATTTGCATTTTAATAATATACTTATTTATCATATTTTAGGTTATGTTGAGGGGTTCAGGAGCAGAAAGAATAAATTCGTTCAACCTAATTCTTAGAATTTATTTTGAAGTAAACATGATTTTTGGAGAAATACACATAAAATTCAAACTGAAAAATGGGTTCAATATTTTGATGACTCTCAGAGTAATTCAATAATGCTTCCACTCTGTGGCTACAAATGTATTCCTTGGATGGAAGTCTTACTGTCAATGTGACTCATGTTTTTCCATATCAATGGTATTTATGAAATCTTTTACAACTGAGAATGCGACTAGCGAAATCAACGAATCAATGTCTTGTGAGTGCACTAATTCAACTCAATTTAATAAGCAAACATTAGAAATTCCTGGAGCTCAAACTCAATTCGAGCTTGGCATGACAGTAACTCGTTTCGCTGGTATGGGTTAAGGTACTTTCACCAAATCAAGACCTCGCACTGCTATTAAAATAGGTTGTCTTTACATTCCCAAGCATATCAATTATGGCAATAATAGTTTATACTTCACAAACACCAATGGTACGATAATCAATGAACTGTATCGAAAGTTATTAAATACATCAAAATAAGTACTGGTGATACAATTTTATTACGATGATATATGATACATATAAACATAAAGTTAATCTGTTATTTCTATATTTCATTTTATGCATGAAAACCCCAATTGTAAAGTTTGACTTCATTCTTCTTGTAGCTGTTGAATACCTTTAGGTTCATTCAATTATCAGTAGTTTTCACGAATTTTCATGATTACTTTTCACAAATGACTCCATGCGCATGACTATTTTTAGACCAGCTGTGCATTCCTTGTGAAGCACCTGGAGCACGGACAGTGTATATAGCAAGTACAGTCCACTCGGCATGGTTAGACGGGTGCCCGGGATTCCATTTCATATCTCCAACAGTCCAACTTGCTTCAATTCCATTATTCATTGTCACGATTTTGTTCTAGAAAATATCAGTTCTATAATAAGCTAATCAATTACTTAATAGAAAATTGACGACGATTTTATTCTCATCGTGTTTGAAAAGAAATATTGAAGTTTCACGATGTACTGCATTATTTCTGAGTGATTTCCAGTAACAAAATTCACACTCTTTCCTGCCTTCTTAAGATATTTAATGAAACAATTATTGAATTTTTCACCGAAAAGTCGACCAAAGTTATTTTTGATTCACAAGTCAAATCGCGCTGGCCTCTTGTCAAACTAACCCCGTGTCGAATCACTTCGTTTTCGTTTGGCTCAAAGCATTTCTAATTTCGCAAAAGTGACTCGAGTCAATTGCTAATAATGATATTAAATATTTGCTAATTCTTACTAAACCCCATAAAACAAAATGACACAAATTCAAATGACAATCAAGTCACGTCAAGTCTAGCATATTACCGAATTAATGGTCATTCCAGTGAAAAATGTTTTACGCGGGGCGAAGGAGTACGCTAATGTATCTATCTCTTCAAAATGATTTCTTCCATAGATGTTTGCCGGCGTTCCACCTTCTTGGGCACAAAGTTCGTCAATTAGATAATACGGGGCATAACCCCGACTAGGATAAGCAAGCCAGAAACATTTGCCACCGTAGAACACCTTGCACAAATCTGTAGACAGATACAAAATGTGAATGCATATACAAGTTTTACACTACGTCAGCTTGCGCTTTTTATCTGATATAATCGCGTATACAATGTTAATTGTGAATTTAGAGCCTTGAAAAATTCAGCCATAAATTTGGTTTTCAACACCAAGGCTGAAATACGTATTATTTCAGCCACATTCCTAATCTTAATTCGGAGAAAAAGTCATGGAATGGCTAGAATGATTTATAGATAGATTTGAGTTACACCCTTGCCTATGGAAAGTGTCTATTTTATTTGTTACTAAGAACATAAAATGTTATTCCTACCTTGTCGATGTTTTAGATTTCTAACTTCTTCTTGTAATTCCGCAACTGTTGAGCCATATTCTGTCATTGATTCTTGCACTTCTGTAAAGATAAATAACATTATTGTAAATGTTGAACAATAACGCCGTAATGCAATTCTACACAACAAATTTCACATATCCTAATGAGTGCAAAAATTGTCTCCCGGGATGGCAAAAATGTTCGATCAAAACTAAACGACGATCAGTCACATTGGAATTACAGCATCAATCACCGTTTCAGCTCATTTTAGTGTACATTATAAATAATTATGCATTACTGTGAATGTTCCAATATTGAGCCATGTAGATTGTTTTTAGTTTTGTTTCTGATGTCGAGGCGACATCTTGGTACTAAATAAATAGCTTTTCTATTTCAATATTTTGCATTCAAAGATGAAATTAGTCGACCGACAGAAGTGCACAACTTTTAATAATATTTCATGTCGACTCTCTCAGGACATGAATGTGACATGAGAAAATTTGGCCATTACAAAAAACTGACTTTGATTAACTTTGTTTTCCAATTTCAAATCGATAGTTTCGTAATTCACATTTCCCGGTGGTCCTATCTCTCCTTTCATTCCTTGTATTCCTCTTTTCCCTGGCCTCCCTTGAATATGCTGTATTGTAGGGTTACTCGAAATATCGCTACTGCCAACTTGACTTTCCGATACCAACGCCCCATCCATCTTTTGGCAAATGAAATGGTTTGTTCCATCAATTCCAAATGACTTGTTCAGAATCATCAACGAGAGAAAGGTGAATGTAATAGAAAACTCCATATTTTGTTTCGTTTATATCTATGAAAGTATAATGTAAATATGAAATAAGTGAACTACCGTAAATTACATTCCTTAACCAAGACAATATTTGATCGCAATTTCATACGTGATTAGGTAGAAAATGAACAAACACAAACGAGTAAAAACGCTTATGTGCTGAAATGGCCATTCCTACATATTGCTGTACTATGCTCGGATCTTCTTTTCTTTGAAGATCTGTCATTTTATAAAAATAATTGAAAAACGTGACCAATCCACATTAATCAAAAATGGCGGGTGGTTTCATACTGATCAATATTCATATCGCAATGTAAAATTACATTTTGAGAATTCATAAGATTCAATCTAATCTCCCAAAATTTTAATACATTTACGACACAACTTTTGTCAAGAATGCGAATGCGATCCAACGTTTTCTCATTACTAAATAACATTATCATCTTGAAAATCATCAATATTTCTACTTGAAAAGTAATAGGATCGTTCCACATACTCTACAGATACAGTCGCTGCAAGTGTTGATTATAACAAACTTTCGCTGAATTCATGGCTATTTGAACTGTTTGTACTCAAACGATATTACCCTATACTTAGTGGTTATAACGAGTGAATTACTAATCATGGAATAACCTAACCTGCTAATTATAAAATCATGATAATACTGTTTATATTTACTGCAAATACTGATTCCTTGTCAAAGACGAACATTTATTTACTAGATGAAAATTCACAGTCTTCATTCTTCGATTTATGAATGTGGTTTTGCCATTCATTAACACAGAAGAGTATTTAACAAACCCCCTAATGTGGTCAACCTCATACCTAAGTAGGTAATTAGTATCTTTGGGGAATCTAAAGCAATTTGCATGTTGACGATGTAAATATTTATCATATTTTACGTTATGATTTGTGTTTTGGAAAAAAAAAGATATCCGTTTATTCGAATTTTAAGAATTTATTTTGGGTAGAAGGTAATTTACAAAGCGATAAAGATGATAATCAAATGAAAAAATTCGTTCAATAATTTTCTTCCTAGTAATTAGTTAAGCCAGGTGATCTTTATTTGATCAGACTTCTGTTATAGTTCATATATATTAAATTGAAATCGTCATAATTCAAGATTATTACCCTTCATTTACCATGTGATGTTAGAAATGTCCCCTTATTTTAATTATGGACACTAGGTTTGTGTTCTTAAAAAGTCTTCCGCAGTAAATTCATATTCGATCAAATGAACTGATTTCTTATTCGAAATTTGATACCAATAATTAATTGCATGTAATATCCCCTTGCTTTATAACACACGAGTCTCACATATAATTAATTTAGCCAAACTTCGCTGCCTATTCCGGCCAATAATCTGGCATTCGTGAGTTCTCCCGCAGGTCGCTATTTTCTTTCTGCGTTTCTAATGAGCGCAATTCTATCATTAAGCTTTGTGAGTTGTTATTTGTGAGTTCTATTTTTCATGTTTGTTCTATATATTTAGCTAATATTTAGAGTGATGGTCATATAAATAGATTAAATTGTACGTAACTGACGGAATAAACTGACCCACTGATGTACATTTCTGCAATAAAGTCAAAGCAACAAAGGCAGAATGGTAAATTTGCGATCGGGCTTTTTGAGTATTTTTGGTGTTACCGAACATTGGATCACACAATATCATTCCACATTCCTAGTTGAACGATAGCACCAGTTATTAGCTACATGTGGTTTGTAAATATTTTCAATACATTAACAACCTAATTCGATTTTAAAAATAACGTTTTAGATGGAATTCTTAGTGTCGATCTGACTTATATTTTTCCATTTCACAATTGCAGATCACTGTAGTCCAGCTTCATCATGTTTCAATTTTGATCGTTAGCACAAACAAAAGATGACTAGGGCAGGGTATCTTCAAATACCTGATAATTTCAGAATCAAAAATTAAGATTTTTTTTAATTATGATATCGAAGTATATACTTGAAATAACAGGATTACATTTAATATTTGATGAATAACATATGATTACAGTTTTGTAAACAACTATTTCGAAAAATCTTGATTTTAAAAAACAAAACACATTGATCTTGTGGAAAGAACTGTTTCCAGATCGCTTCATCTTTCAAAATTTACATTTGTGGACAACAATGCTCATACTTAACCTAATTATTCTAAATATACAGACATTTAGTACATAATCCTATTTACAGTCAGTATTGCTTTATAAATTATCTTCAATTCAAAATAAATTTTAGACTAAGATCGAACAAACTTGTGACGTGTAATAGATGCATAAGTGTGTTATCGAAATGCAAAGTTAGTTAGTTTTAGTTACCCCAAAAATTCCTAATATTTACTTATAAGTATAAGGTTCATGACGTTACTAATATTTTGCTACATATTTATCTCGATAAAACATAACAAATCGAGATTTATTGGCAGATAAATGAAGACCGAGTATTTTAAACTCCATCATTACATATTTACAGCGTCGACAGACAAAAAGTATTTTGCTTCGAAGATAAGCCGTTTTATCATAATTTCACAATGAACAGAAACTACTACCTTTCTTAGAAAATTTCAACCCAAAACATCCTAAAGCTTTGTTCTTTGCTCAAAAGTTATTTTTGAAATGTTTTTTTCTAGATTCAGTCCAGTAAATTTTTCTTCAATTGAAACATATTTCTTTATTTAGCGATTAGTATTTTATTCGTTATAACTTAAATGTGATTTAGGATAGTTTGAGTACAGACATGAATTAATCCAAAGTTTGGTATAATATACTGCGTTCAAAACTTGTAACGACTTGGACAAGGAGTAAGAATGATATTTGGCTTGTGACGAATAAAATTTGTTCTGTTACCAGTTCAGTTATTAGGAGTCTCACAGTCTTGCCAACAGTCGCGTGGGCATTTTTTTTTTTCAATTTTGCTCGAAGTAATATTAAATTTTATGTATTATGTATATAAGAGATATGATCAGTAAAAGCATCATTTAATATGAATTGGTTACTTTTATTGAGACCAATCTTCATAATCAAGTATGCCGTAAAAGAAATCTGAATTTAGTACAGCAACATTTAGAAAAAAAAACTATTGTCGGAATGTCATTATTCGCATAATATTACAGCGTTGTCCTTGCACATTTGTAAATTCAATGACTAATAACGTAACAAATTACGGTGAACGATTTCTGTTTTGAGCAAGGAAATGATATAATTCAGCTATTTCATATTCACATTATATATTTCATAGATATATATAAACGAAACCAAATATGGTGTGTTCTATTACACTTACTTTTCTCTCGTTGATGATCCTGACAAAGTCGTTTGGAATTGATGGAACAAACCATTTTATTTGCAAAACAATTGAGGAGGCGTTCACATCGGAAAGCCAAATTGAAAGTGGCGATGCTTCAAGTGACTCTACTATACAGCACATTCAAGGAAGGCCAGGAAAGAGAGGAATACAAGGAATGAAAGGGGAGATAGGACCACCGGGAAATGTGAATTATGAAGCTATCGATTTGAAATTGGAAAGCAAAGTTGATCAAGGTCAGTTATTTTAACTGTATATCTTCTTATGCTACGTTCGTATTCCAAATAAAACAGCCGACATGAAAAACTACTAATACAAATAACCAGCTTTCACCAAAAACTTGACATAGAGGAATATTATATTGTTTTCTGCGTAATTGTTCTCCATTAGTAAGATGTTATCTCTTTTTACAGAAATGCAAGAATCAATGAGAGAATATGGATCAACAGTTGCAGAATTACAAGATGAAGTTAGAAAGTTGAAACAACGACAAGGTAGGTGTGCATCACCAAATCTCCCCAACATATCTAAAAAGCAAAAAAATCAGTCTGGGCAAGAAAGGTGCAGCTTGAATTTGAGAAATGGGTATTTAGATTGAAAAAATTATAATTTCAACCTTGCTATCCTTTAAGTCTAAAGTGTATTTTAACCAGGGTTGATGCTTTTAAACTTTCAATTACAATCTATACGATTACATCAAATGAATCCCGCAAGATGAAATGGTGTGAAATCCGTATATGAAAAAATATTTTTTTCTTTTACAGATTTGTGCAAGGTGTTCTACGCTGGCAAATGTTTTTGGTTCGTTTTTCATAATAACCAGGATGTAACATATTCTCAACTTGAGGAACTTTGTGCCCAAAATGGTGGAACGCCGGCAAATAGCTATGGAAGAAATCATTTTGAAGAGATAGATGCATATGTAGATTCGATAACCCAGCATACAACGTTTTTCACCGGAATGACCATTAATAACTCGGTAATATGTTAGTCCTATCGTTAATATACTTTCACGTTGACTCGATTGTCGTCAAAATAGTAATGGTCTTTGATCAAATGCCGTGTTTTAACATAATTTTGGATTAATAGAGTGAAGTTGAGTTTAGTAATCATTTGATTATATTATTATGAGGTATTGACTCATTGACTCGACTCCAATAATATTTTTTTCAAAAGACATGAATTGAGTCGCATACTCAAGTCAAGTGATTCGATACACAGTCGAACCGACAAACGGCTGGCGCCACTTGACTCAAATATAATTTTGGTTGGGTTTTTGGTAGAAAATTTAATAATTGTTTTTTAATAACTAAAGTCTACAAAAAAGAAGGTATACATTTATTACCGGAATCCACTTTGTAATTTAACTATATACATAAAAATTATGCAATGGGTATTGAAACTTCTTTATTTTCAACACGAAGAAAACAGAACCGCGGGCAAATAAAACTTACTTTGCTATGACCATCAGCTTAAAATGTTCCTTAGCTTCATATGAAATTATCATTTTTAGAACAAAATCATTAGGATGAATAACGGGATTAAAGCAAGTTGGACTGTTGGAGAAATGAGGTGGTTTCCCAGTCACCCGATAGCCCATGCCGACCGGACTCTACTTGCCGTACATTCTAATCGCGATCCAGGGTCTTCACACCTGGTCTAAAAGTAACCGAAGGCATGGAGTCCTTTCTGAAAAGTGAACACCGTAAAAACTGATGAGTGATAAAACTTGAATTTATTATAAATTTACAGGCACAACAAAGCAAAAGTTGAAAGTTTGAATATAATAGCGGCAACAACTCAATTACTTTTTTCATCATTTGTAATAAATCTTCAACACTATTTGGCTCTATTCGTGAACGATTCACAGATAAACCGAAGTTTTTTGACTCACTATCAATATTTCATCCCAACAAACCAACCGAGATCGCCTACGAAATCGTCATAGTTTTGACCACCATAGGTCAATAATGGGATTACAGAACAAGGAGAGCAAACAAAACCTTGAATGAGGTTTGCAACTCACAGAAATCAAATTGAAATGTGTTGCCAAGAGTCGGGTTCATTCGCCTAGGAATATAATATTAATTCACACATACATACATACAACCACAGGGGTATAATAAAACAAGTAAAATGAGAGAAACTATTTAAACAAAAGAAATTATTTACTAAGCAAAAATGAAAGTAGAAACAGTAAACAATGTGAGTGTGAACAGCTTCTCAAAGAAAATCTCATACAATTTTGTTAATTACAGTTAGATACCCCACGCATAGCCGCTATGTTCCGGTCTACATGTTTTAGTATCCTTGATTTCAGAATTAATTAAAAATTGAAAAAAGAAAAAAAATATCTCGACCAGAATAAGTACAGTATTGGAAGGAAACATGCACTAACTTCTAAAGCTATATGTTGCGTAACTAGCGAACTGCAAAATAATGAAAGTTTCGTGAATTTTTTTTTTCGAAAGACAAGTATAAATTTTTTTGGTGAAATACCACATAAACGCGAGCCTGTCCAAAATTAGAAAACTTTTTTCATTATGCCAATATAAATATCGGTAAAACTTTTAAATATTTTTAAGACAGGTATAACAAAATATTATCAGAGACTCACTTGACTTTTTTCTAGGTTTAGATACCGGTAACGTTCTTCATCGGTTTTATCTCAATGGAACTTCACTTCATACTCCCGACTATCCCTAAGGATAAACGTGGTTTCTTTGTGTACGATCATGCAAAGGTGCAGCCATATGTTGACTTTGTGGTGTCTAAAATGGCTAATCACCTTAGTTGCAGTTTCATGCACTCACTTGAAAAAATCGATTAGCAAGCCAGTCTTCAAGAATGGAGGTAGCTGTATTTCATCATAACAAAATCCAAATCCTCTATAAGAAATTATTTTCATTGTGCGGATCTATGACTACTATCCGGTTGAAAATTCGTTGCCCAAAAAGGTGTAAGACTTCGGAAAATCGGAAATAAATTCCAACTGCTGCATTGAAAATGATTTCTTTAGATTGTTTTCAGGTTTTGCTCTCCTTTTTTTAAAGCTGACTTCTTATAAAGAGTCAAAAGTTAACTTACATGTAGAAATAAGCGCTTGAATGAATGCGTTTCCTCATCTGAACTCAAATCAGAAACGCAATCCGTGACGTAAAATGAAGTGCGCTCTTCGTTAGTGCTTTACGTTACTAGACAGTGGCTTTAAATGAACTCATCCAATTAGTCGTAATTTATATTTTTAATTATACCTAAAATATGTAGGCATTTAAACCAAACACACATTATGATAGCCACATTTTCATTCGCAAAATCTGTACGTAAATTGGGTTTAATAATTCTGTTACAGAAGATGTTTTTAATTAATGTGCAACAGGTGTAGCGATTGTTGAGTATACATAGTTAGATTATATGTTATCGCCTACAAATTTATTCGCCGACTCTTGAAAGCGTTCTTCATTTGTCACTGATCATTTGCTAATGTACGTACTTATACTATTAGGCTTGTACAGCGAATCTTACCTGCGTAAGTTTGAACTGGCGATACTTTTATAAATTACTAGATTTATTTGTGGTTCATGATCGATCAAGTGTGATAAGCTCGAAGATTACGTAATTTTACACCGTCCCAATTTCAACACTTATTCACGTCGAGGTTTGTAACTTCCCAAATTTTAGCTTAATTACACATAATTATCTGTTATATCGTTACAATTTAGGATTGTTTTACGAAAATGATAGTTAAGATGTCGCCAATTCCTCAAGTAATTATTATTGTTTTGACATTTAGTCACGACTTGTCGTTTCTTATTTTGAAAAATGTGTAGTCTTGATTTATTTATGCTATGCAGTAGTTTATAATCAGCATTGTACTTCAAAAAGCAAACTCGTTCAATATATCATGGGATATACAAAGCTGTACTTACTGGGCACCTTGCTTATTTGCATGAATGGATATACAGGAGGCTCAAATGTAAGTTGAATAAATAAACTAACAGTTGAGGTTCCTTGAAACTAACTACCTTTCCTTGCTCTCTATGCCTTTGCGCAGGTGGATCCGTATGCGTATTACGCAAGGATGCTGTAGCAAGAGTGTAAATCAGCTATTTTCCCGCACACTGCACGTTTTTGCCTCATAATGCTTTATCAAGTATTGTACTGTTTAATCCTAATGGATATTAATGATTCCGAAATCAGCACTAACTGAATTCGTTCAGGCTGTAAGAGTATTTATTAAAAAGTTTAAATATTGCTACTAACATAGTCTCGACAATACTGTGCCATATTCAACGGCTAATAATAAAAATGCCTGATTCTAAGAAGGTTATTTTTTATTTACCAAATGGAGAGTTGCAACCATCACGGCATTCTTATTTTTCATTGGTTAGTCAGTCTTGCTCTTGCCCGTAGCATTTTTCGGTAGCAGATTCTCGGTTGTCCGATGAATCGTTATACTGAAAGCTATTTCAGGAGTTCCTGTATTATGGAAGTCGTTTTAACTTTAATACTGACAGATATGCTTCTATTATGCAGCATCCATGGTTAAATACATGGAATTCAAATCCATTCCAAAGATTTCATTTACCAACCGCTGCTACTCCAAGAAGAAGTGGTAGAACAAGATCTGAAAAAGTTTCAGAATGCCCAAGGTATGTTTATTTAGTATTTACATATTGAAGTACATCTTTATACAATTCAATCGCAAAAGTTGAAAATCTTTTTATCAATTTTGCCGTAATGTGGTTTTCAATTGACAGAGGTTTTTTCACATATCTTAAAAACGATTTAATTATATGTTTGAAACACAAAGGGCATGGCATATTTTGGGGATATTAGCTGTAATATTTTGCGAGTTTCGCTCTATATGCTCTATATCTATCTAGCTATCGGAATACTTTTCATTTCAATTGGATACAATCATGTACGAGGATTTCTTAGAAAGCGGTGAAGTCGCGAGGTATTAATTGTTGTGATGAATTTAGCATGCATTTTTTCTCCACCAGTAAGTTCTGTGTTTCATATCCCAAAAAATAGCATAAACGATCACGTCCCATATTTAGAAAAATTAGATCTTGAAATATTTTGATTTCTCTTTTGTTTAAGTGGTACGAGGCATGATGCAAAGCCTGAATGCAAAAAGAGAGAATCGGGAGAAGCAGTTGGTTGTCCAAAAATAACTTGCAAGTTTTACCCGACCTATGGTGAAGTTGTAGACAGGGGAGCTGACAAAAAAAATATTTTTGGAAAATGGAGAAAAATTTTAAAAGAAAAGGATGGATCATATAAGAAATTTTTCACAGCAAAAATGTGCAGGTACGTTGCATGAAATCAATTTTTTTCTTATGAATGAATTAAAAATCATGCTACCATACATTTTAACATCTTACGTTTATAACTCATTAAATACGCTGTCTACACACACACAATTTTTTTTAGAATAAAGACATTTGTGGGTTTCGTTTTCAGTGGATCTTCCTGTACCCCATTAGCCAAGGCGAAATTGAACAACATCCAAATTAAATACTATACATATATATTTATTAAAACTAAAATAACATTTTATGGTTTACCAAATAAAGTTGGCTCATCTTGCCAAACCACAATTTTAATGAAATTTGAGAGTACCGACATCGAAATAGACATGTAGTCTATTTCATAGTTCGGATAATATAACTAATATGTCGCGAAACAAAGATTCAAACACCAATTATATAAATTAAAATTGGTTTCTTTTGACAAAACACGTTCTTATGAAACGTTAATACCTGAAATTGCCTAATTATACGATATCATTCAATGTTACGTATTCAGGACGCGATATATATACGGATTGTTTTGTATCGAAAGTCATCGATAATAATCATTTCTTATGGAGAATATGGTGTCGCGCCATTCTAGCATTATAAAGTAAACCGTTTTACTTCAGATTTGAACTAATTAGAACGAACCATTTTTGACATATGTAAACTAGATTTTTAGGTTTTAGAAGCGTGGTATCTGTTTAATATGTTGATACTACTGCAATAAAATTACATGTCTTTTAAGTATATTTAATTAAGCCATTTTCAGTTATCTTATCATCAATAACCAAAAATAGACGTAGTCATTTTTTCGGAAAATTTAAAAAAATATATTATTATTTACTTATAACGACTAATTGGCCGATAGTTTTAGTTGAACTTGACACACCCCTTCATCAGTGACCACTTAAATCTACGGAGAAGAATTTTTGAAAAAAATCCATACCACACTGCTATGATTCTTCTGCTAATGGGTTCTTAAACATCTTTCCAGTTTGTTATAGCCTATCAATCTTATTATAAATGGTCGAAGTGATGTACATGGGATTTAAACAAACGTTTTACATTCACATTACATTTTCAGGTATCCAAACAAAATTTGTGATTGTGATAAAGGATCCTGTAACAAATGCTCTGATTCAAAAGTAAAAGTATGCGCGCAAAAGTGGACAATAAAACACGCGTCATTTTATATCGAAGATCTCTCGGAAAATTATAACAAGTCAAAACCCTTTAAAGTTTCTCCCCGGCAACTGACCCCAGAAGAGGAAATAGAGGCTATCAGTAGACATTTTGGTGGCGCCAGTGATTTTCGTACCTCAACTGAAATTCCTAAAAAACCAATTAGGCTCCCTACGCCTACATCTCGGTCCCCTAATCCACCAAGACCACCAATGCCACCTCTGACAACTAGGCCAAATAGCGTTCTGTCACCCACAAAATCAACATTGCCCACTTCCCCTCTTTCGTCAACACAGGAAACCAAGGAAACCAATCCTCCTAGACCCACTAGGACACCCTTCATTAATAGGGCATCGAGACCACCCATGACTGTTCAACCAATATTGGTATGGTCAAGAACTCCAAGACTATCATTTCATGAACAAATGCAAATTCTCATGTGGCAAAGATTTTTGTTTGCAATGACATTTCATGGACATCTTTCATCAACGAGTACGCGGCGTCCACGCCAGCGTTCTCAGTCGAAGCGAGAAAAATCCAAATCTAAACCGAGGAGTTCTGATGAAAAAAGAAAAGTTAGATTGGCAGTCAGAGTAAGTTTCTGGGTTCCTATACATTATTTTTTCAAATAAGCGAGTTTGGGCGTATCTTCAACATGTGGAAAATAAAGCATGCTGCTGTATTAGAGTATTTCTCTGTTGAAAGAAGTTAAAAACAACATTGCCGACTTTCAGTTTGTGTAAGTTGTGAACAGTGAAAAACTCTATAAAATTATATAACTATTTTATTATGTCGGGTGGGGAGTCGCAATGTCCGACTTATTACACTCCAATTCTAAAATCTCAACTAGTAGCAGTTTTAGTAGTACTAATAATACAAACGCTACAATTTTCGGAGTCAAAAGTTGAGTATCCCGGACTTTGCGGAGTCAAAAGCTAGTAAAATAGTTGAATGTTTTGAATGTGGATTCGGCAATCCTGTTTTCAGAATTCATTTTCATACTCCAATCTCTTGTCAGGGTGCGCCATAGTGACATTAACTAATTGCTAATAGAGTGTTGCATTTATAACAACATTTTTTTTTTCTATTTTGTAGATTCCCAGTGGGTGTTCATGCAAAATTGTTGACTGATATCAGAGAAGCAAAGTACGGCTGTATTTGCGCTTGAATGTAATTTTGCTCTTGAAAGTAACGAACAAGAAATGCAAACCTTTATACTCTGCAATCCAAGATCTGCGGACATCTTTATAACAAAAACTCCTTTCAAAATATATATATTTTCTTTGTTATGAAGGCTTCTCAAATATTGTTCCCAATAAGATTTTTGGTACTAAAAAAATGTGCAAGATAACGTTGCTTCCAGCTTCAGCCTACTAGTACTGACAAACCCAACCCTTTATAATTTATTTTATTTGTTACACCAGATTCAGATATAGCCTATATTGTTTTATTTTATGATACATATGTAGTCTATTTTATTATATGTTCTCTTGACAATGTATAGGTTCAAATTTTTTGAACTCATCCTTCTACAGATTTTTGTTTTTATCATCTTCCCTCGCAAACATCTCATTTTTGCCGAGTTGAAAATTAGTCAAAAACCCAAAGAATTTTTTTCAAACGAGGTGATACTTTTACGCATTAAATTGCGAAGAAAAAATTCCAAGAGATGGAAAACTGATGCTCACAACCACAATACTAGCAATGACTAGTTTCAGAAGAATCTAAATGCATCTTGGAGAAAACGAAAATGACATATTTCGATTTTCTGTTTATTTGAACAGTGCATATTTTGCATCAAATAAATATAATCACACTGACATTTTCAAAAAAATATTAAAAACACAGAAAAAGACTCTTATGTGACATATTGCTAACATATTAAAATTTTGTCAACACCAAATGTCTGCACTTTAGTACAGGATATTTTTCTATCATTTACTCTACGAAAATTGAAATCGATATTGGCTTTTTTACCAGAAAACGTACATAGGCCGCTAGGTGGTTACAGAAACTTTAAAATAATCCGTCGTCGCAAATTGTAAACAAACGAATAAGCGCCCGCGTTTCAGGCTGTCAACCTGCTGATTTCTCGTCCGAACGTTGGAACGAAAAGCCTTTCGTGGAATGAATAAAAGTGAAAAACTAGCCTACAAAAAAAGTAAGTTGTTTTTAGACATTTGAATTATTTTATATGGGTTTGGTCTGAGGGCCCTCATTGTAATTAAAGATGAGACTGGAACTGAGATTGGCATATTCTGGTCAAAATTAGTACAGCCTATTCTGTTAGGCTGAGGATAAGATTGAAATTTAATACACGTACAATTTCAAGTTGGTGTTTGCGGTTTACGGCATTGGCAATCAGTATACACAGTTTTTAAAATAAACTATCATGCCATTACTGCGTAGTATGTTTGTTGCACCACAACCGTAATTGCAATGAAAGATGACAAAACATCAATCATTTTTGTACACTTAAAAATAAGTACTCTTTCTAAACAACCCGATAAAAATAAAAACCAATTTTTATTTTATTTTCTACAATATTAAAAGGTTTGACCACCCCCTTTGGTCAGTTATTTAATGCTAGCGTTAAGTCCAGTTGAAGGTGACGATTTTCTCATCAATTCTACATTTCTCTTCCGATCAATAAGCTTCAATGCGTTTGCTCTTTCTTCGCGGTCAAAATACCACAGTGTGATTGCATACCTGCTATGAAAAATTATTCATGAATATTTCAAACGTTACCATAGCACTAAAGTTCTTGGGAGATTCCAAAACAAATAAATCATACTGTACAATGTTGCACTTTCTTATATTGAGATGTTGGCAAATCCTCAAGTTAACATTAATATCTAATCTCTTTGAAATGCATTTTTTTGCCTAATCCAGGGCAAGCAGTACTTAAACAATGCAAACTATAGTCATAAACTTAAGACCACCAACAGTGCAGTTATCATCAAACAGAATGATAGATATTTTTGAACGTTGCCATACCTGTCTTTGAAACATGGTAAAACTTCATGAGGTGTTCTGCTGTCAGAATAAAATATTGCTACCGTATCAAGTTCAGGAGTGATTTGTGTGGAGCTTCCACGAGCTGAATATACCTGGAGTGCGCCTCCATTTTCCTGTAAATAACCAACATGATAACGGAAGAATCCAGAAAGGGGAATGTCGGAGGCGTAACCCCGACATCAAGATATTATTCGTGTAGAAATCCAACGTTAGCGGTTTAGTCAAACAATTTGGGCATATTTGTCAGCAAATTGCTGTACAGTGGGAAATATTTACTATAGTGTATTCTATTGTGTTCTTGCGAAATTCGATCGAGTCTATATTGATAAACTTGACGGGTATCGGTAACGAAGCAGACTTACCTTTATGTTCCAATCCTTATTGCAAAAGTACGTACAAGTGATGCATCGTCCATCTTTTGCTGGGTTATCTACATGACGTCGGTAGCCTGTCCCTTTACCAGGATATTTGGCAACCATCAACTGAAAACGGAAAGAGATTGAGCAAATCTAGTGTAATAAAAATTTAGTGTGGGAGCCTGTATCGGAATCTTACATTACAACACCATTAACGGGAACTTGATTCAGAGATTCATAACTTTGTTTTGAATTTGCATGGCAAGCACAACATGAATAAACGTAAGAAGGGTCATTTAAGCCGTATGTGCGTTTGTGAATTTGAATATTATTTACGATAATTCAATAATGTAGTTGGGGTCAAGCTGATGAAATATAAAATGATGAGATTAAACGCACCTTTGTACCACCGCATATGTTGTACTCTGGAGCGATACCGGTACCCATCGCCACAATTCTATCCATCGTTCGACAGAGTATACCGATATTCTCACAATAGGGCTCTGTTCCGTCTATCCAAGTTATGACGTCGCCACGAACGGCGCTGTTGCCGTGTTTAGCACCAATGAGAGCTCCTTTAACACAGTTCTTTTCTCTGTGAAGATTAATTGCTTCCTCTCTAATTTTAGATGATATCTCAGCACCTACGAATCCTTCCACTACACAAAGTCCTCGTGTAGCAAGGCTATATGCGATGTGTCGCTGTCGCAGTAATTCAAAATCTGTCAGAGATGCTTTCACGTTTCCTAACGATAACATAAGTCGTCTAAAATTATCATTTTGCTGAACTTGAGCGGATGAAGTAGTTGATGGCAACATAGAATTGGTCGTCATTGTGGTGGTAGGGATCCCTGATACAGTATTAGACATCGTAGTTGAAGTTGGCAGGTGTTGATTAGCCGGTGCTTGATGTTTTGAGCAGCTTTGTGCAATATTGCGAACAGAAAAAGCATACATTTTGTCATAAATGGAGGAGCTATCGATATTTTTTTCTTTCGTATGTAATTGGCCCGGCGCTGAAAACGATTTTTTAATATTGTCAGAATATATGCCCACTCCGTTTGAACCAGTCCAAGATGGATTGCTTGGTATTCGACTGGGTTTTTCTTCTTTAAAATTGTGGTACACTGGAACAATATTGCCCGCTTTCCTATATGGATGAAATCGTGATGACTGATGGTCATGAGATTTTTTGCTCAAGTTTTTACTACAAGAAGGTAATATTTCAGTATTCGTGAATACTTCCTGCCCCACAGAGCAATTGTATGTTTTACAGTGGTTTAAGTCTGTTTTCTCCTGCTTTGAACTTGAGGTAGAATGCATTTTTGCTTGTTTTTCTTTCCCGATGTCGCATAATGCGGCTATTACGGCCGGACTTTTATGGAGTGGAACGCCGAAAGAAGGGTATCTGCCTTCTTCACCGCCGTTGTTCTGATCTATAGGATTTCCGGACATTTTTATGGCAATTTCAAGCAATCTTCGATGTAAGCAGGGCATTTCCACTAAAAGAGACATTCAAATCAATTTTTTTCCAATCGCCCTGCTTGTTTTCCTGAGCTTGCAATTTTTTGACTTATATAATTTTCAGTGGATCACGTTGTCAGTAAACAGGAATAATTTATATCATATACAGGTATATTATATATATGATATTTAACAATCTAAATGGTACAAGAAATGTATTTTTTGTAAACATCACAATTATAATATATATATATCAATTTCGATACCGGTACTGTTTCTGAAACTGTTTTTGGGAATCGTTTGAGGGATAATAATTTTTTTTCTGAGATAGAAAAGTATCTCTCCTCCAATGGAAAATATAATAATTCCTGAAAATATATCGAGAAACAACTTGTCTTGTTTTTATGCTTGCATGCTATGCAACTTCATCTCTCTCTTGGCGCTTATCTACTGATTGATACGTTCGAAATACGAAGCGTCAGTGACGCCGATTCACGCATTTTAAACTGAACCACTTTCGCTGAACTATCCCCGACTTTTTTCCTTCGCAGCCCTGTTATTGCACTGCGTCAGTGCGTTGTTCTTTCTACCGGTCAGCGAAAACTTCCTATTGGATATACAACAACATAACAACAGACGCCATTTACTGAACATATTTCGCACGTAGGCAAAATAAGAGTTCAATAAGTTCATCATGGCGTATTAGTGACTGCAGGGATTGGCTAAGACTCATCTTGCCTGCAGTTCTTGTTTACGTCTTTACGTAGTGCTTGTCGGTGAAGCGAAGAAATTGTGAGTCATTCTTTATTTATATGGGTGACTAATAATTCAAATTTATTTTCTTATTTTAATAGACGAATTACTCCGTTTGCACGCGTTACACTAACGCCTTGGCGTTTGCAATTTTGATCTTTTTTATATGATTCGGAACAATTTTTATTAGTTTCGATCGGCGTTGCTCACTTGCGGGTGTTGTAATGCTGCCAAAATGTACGTTTTTCAACTAGTATTACTTTCCGTGTATTTAAGTTTTTATACATAAACATTATTAATTCTTGTACGATTCTTTGTCAATTTGACTTGGCTTTGTATAAGGTCAATTCCAAAGAATGTTTATTTTAAATTTTAAAAACACTCATTACTTAAATTTTGCAAAAAGGATATACGCTGCGTCAGTTGCATTAACATATTTTTTCTAAGAAAATAAAAATATACTATAACATAAATGGCGATGCATATATGTATGACTAATTTTTTATACATATCAATTAATAGATTCTTTGCCATAACTTCACTTGTATTAATTATTTATACTGAGATGAATTCCTTTTGATCTAAAGCTGGAAATGTCTGCTTGGACCCGGTCTAATCATGATAAAAGAATAGTTTTCGCAGTATATTTATTCAAAAGATGTTAATAAAAGTATCAATACCATTTTTATAAATAGGTTGTTCTTATTATCATCAAAAATATTTTCGTTCTACTAAAATTTTTCGAGGAAAGCAATCCGAGCAGTTCATTTTGCAATCGAAATTATCATTATAAAATAATATGGAATAGGGTTAGGAAACGACAATTTTAAACAAATAGAGACTTTAAAGGCAGTACGTGACATTTGTTTCACAAATAAATCTTACTGAACGTTTTTTTCCGCAAATAAAACAACCCGATTTGCAGGCAGTGACATATTCTTTTCGAACCGACTACATTTGGAGGTATCAATTTTTTATGGTCGTTGATTTTCCTCGTACAATAAATTGAAACCACACATTTTTTTCGCAGATCATATCGGCTATTTTCCAATCTTTTCTATTAAAGAATAATATTTTGACGACGCCTTCATATATTGCCGAACTCGTAAATTATAGTTAAATTTTGTTTCGAGCAATACGATATATTTAGCCACCCTTTTTTTAAAAATTATTCCATCCATCCAACGGCATAAATTCGAAAATATTTTGAATTAATTGACTTCACATGAGCGTTGAATGAAACCTTCACACAAACAGGGATTTAATCTGAATTATACGAAGTTAAACTATCAAGTAACATTAAAAAAATAATAATTCAGATAGATTAATTTTTAAATTTTACACTGTCTCTCAAAGAATAAAACATATAATTGTTGTTGTTGAAACGCTTTCTTCGTTATTATTTACATCTTTACAATATTCAATCCTATTGTTTTCCATATTTTATTATAATTTAAGCTCGAATCTATATTCCTCGCGCATAAGGCGCTAAGTGTAACCAGGACACATCACGACCTAGTTGGGAGGACCCTCATACATAAATGAAACTAGCTTATACTGCTACAACCAATATAGTACTGAAAACCTCCCCAGAATGGATATCTTACTATGAAAAAATCTAATACTACATGAATAAATTTGTCCCGTAATTTTAACTGATTGGTAATCACTGATCTAAGATGTCCTACGCTATTTTGTCGTTACATATACATTGTTCCATGCTCGACATTTCCTGGTCTGAGGATAATAATTCGCGTTTAAAACGAGAGAGCTCTAAAACGAGAGAAGTTCAACCAAAATGCCTACGTGACAAATAGCATGTGCTCAACAAACTACTGAGACTAGGCTGTAGTGCCACTGCGTTCGCATGATAGCTCGCGGTTGGGGAAACGCCTTCAAATCCGCCTATTGGGTTACATAATTCAAAATTGGAAATTAAGTTTAGTATATTCAAAACAAGGCTATTTTCTTTATTATGTTTAATTTTTTATGCAAGAGTGTGTCTAAAGTCAAAATAAAAGAGAAAGCCAACTTAACAGCGCTTTAATATATATTTGGTGTATACACTTCTGAACGACCGGCCTTGTTTTATATTTCGTATGTAATATCAATCGCCTTTTCCTGGTTCCCTGTCTGTAAATAGCACTAATATGACGTACTGTTCTACGTCCGAAGTTTTAAGTTTACGAAACTTGATACGGTTTTGTCATTAGCCATCGCCCTCTTTTAACTTATCTTGGGTTCTTAAAATGCTCACATGTACGATTATTTTATTGTTGCAGGCTATACTATTTCCTATGAAATTTATACTAGTGACTTACTTTTGTATTGCTTACTGTGATATGTCATCGATATTATTGTCCGTGGCAATTTCATTTTTGCCACTGTTGGTTTGGAACACGATCCCAGAGAGCGTTGCTTTAGTTTCAACTTTGTCAACTCGAAGTTTGTTCATATAATTGGGGATTTCAATAGCTAACATAGCACGGTAAAGTAGTTAATTTTAACATTAAAGCTTTCCATGATTGTTCTCTCCGTAGTATATTTCGTTCGGAAGCTTTAGTCAGAGTTAGACGGCGGTTACGCTTTGTTCTTGCTATGACTGAAAACGCTATCAATATATTCTATGGAAGTTTTTGAACTAATAGAAAGTGCTTTGATATGTCTCGGTATTTAAATTCCACCTGATCGGCTGACACATATATTATATTAGCTACCTTGAAAATTTCCCAATTTCTATTTATTATCATTAAATTCACATTCTATCCCATTAAAATCCGAAACAGACGTTTGCACAATCTAAATACCTGTTTCCTATTGGCTTATTTCCTACTTCGTTGATGACATCTTTCAAAATAGCCCATCATAAAGCTATACGTATGTCTCATGTACTTCATGTCACGTTCATGTTCCGTATTTGCCGTTTTCCGGCCCGTTCGTTTCATATCTCACGCAGCCTTATGTGCACAATGACGTTAATAAAGATAAGAGCAAATAGAATGGAACCCACTCACGTTGGTGGTGGTTTGTAGGTTACTAACGATCGAGTAAATAGAACAAAACAAAATAATGATCAAAACTAATAACTACGGCTTACAAATCCATGGATGCACAACCTTTTTGTGTGTCAAATTGCTGAGTCCTTTTTGCTTTATCCGTAAAACTCAACAACTTCGCAAAATATATTTTCCTGAGTTGAGGAAAACTAATAACTGATACACTAAAATATATTTCAAACCATTGTCCTTCGATTACTCTCATTTCTCGTCAATTTACGCAAAACAATACACGATAAGCAACACAAGTATCCTCTTATAACAAACGATGGCTTCTGTGAAAGTTTTCGTACTATTTGCGTTAGGTTATTTACATTTATTCGTTATGCGTCATATTATACCGCCTGGTATCTCTTTCAACGCTGTATTATGTGCGTCATGTAACTTGATACATGAAAACGTAGGACGTCAACTCGATGCTTCTATACGTCGGCGGTAATTCTTTCCTATTGAGAATTGTGGACAGATTGATGTGCCCCTCGGCGGCCCGTATTAAAAGTTCCGTTGTAAACTCGTCAGAACTCGGAACACTTATTACTCACCGGTCAATTCAATCTGATCATACTATCAAATAGATTCAGTAAACAATTTAGCTCACGTTCACCAAACTTCTAATTTTAAGCGTCGTTTATTGGAATAGATGTGTATAGGAAAATGGAGATATTGATTTTATTTTGTAATGTCTGTAATGCCAGACAATAATAAACAAGAAAACGGTGCTCAAATAGACGCAAAGGTCACCTGTCGATTAAAAAAGCCTTTGCTAAAAAGCGAGTTTATTGTAGCCCAGTGAAAAACGTATAAAGCGCGAGAAAAAAATTCTAAATTATTAGCTACAAACAAAAATATCAAGATAAATACATGAAAGGACTAAAAGCATATTGATTTTTTTTTTTTGAATATTCATCGTAATTGCGCTAATTTTAATTTAAGTATTTTAAAATTGTTGTTTTTTGACTCTTGCAGTAGTGACTTTATACACCCGGACCACATCTGACACTCACGATCGACCTATGCAACTATGTCTTATTTTCATACGCTCACAACTGCAAGTACAGGAAGTTAATCGTCTATAAATTAACATGCAAAATTATTCACTTTTTTTCATTTTTGTTGTAAAAAAACAAAAAAAATGGGCTAAAGGGGGAACTTTGCCAGATTGATTCCGAAAAACAGTGATACACTTATTAATATGATGCGTTCAAACATTCAGCAATAGAAATATTGTTACAATATATCACTAACTGTGGATAATGGCTACGTACAATATTCGTGAAACATACAAAGAGGGCGAGGGTTCGGACACTTCTGACTTATAGAGAAACACTAACATGATACTCTAGTTCATTGAGATGCGTTATAAAGTATACGACACGTACTCAATAATT